CATCGATGTGAAAGGGACACATGGAGTGGCTGCCACCAGAACAACACAACCAGGGCCGGGGACAAACTGCAACTGAGGTATATGCCCTAAGCAGGAACCGAACCCGGGTCTCTCTGGACTGCAGGCTGACGCTCTAACAGTTGAGCCAAACCGGCCAGGGCAAGAGGCATATTTCTTAATGAACAAAACTACTTTATCAAGAAAAAAGCCATGCCAATGCTTTAAAGACACTTATTGATGATGCCTTTCCAGTACAGAAAATAAAAAATAAATTCAGTTCATTTTTATATCTAGTTTACTTTCAAAATGGTATATTCCTTCACCTCTGAATCATTTATCAAGTCAATAACTTTCAGCAAGTGACTGATACTTTACCTGCTAAGTTGCTTTTGATGTCCCACTCAAAATAAAAACTACAATGTATGTTACTAAATGTGTTTAGATTTTTGTACCATCTGTGGTTCCTCTCACAGCTGAACCCCCAAACAGTGGGGGTTCTTCCTCAAATCTTCTTTGCAATAGAGAGTAAAACAGAAGGAATATACAATTGAAGGTCTTGCAGTTTTAGAGAAAGACTATTGAGTGGATTTTAAATTATCAACTAATTAAGATGAAGTGAAGTCCTGGCCAGTTTGGCTCAGGGGTTGAAGCGTTGGCCCATGGACCAGAGTCGTGGGTTCGATTCTGGTCAAAGGTATATACCTCGGTTTCAGTTCAATCCCTGGCCCTGATTGGGATCTTGTGGGAAGCAGCCAGTGGATCTGTCTCTCTCACATCGATATTTTCTCGCTCTCCCTCCCACTCTATCTAAAAATCAATGGGAAAATATCCTTGGGTAAGGATTAAAAAAAAAAAAAAAAAAGATGCAGTGAAAAATCAATTACACCGATTAACAATATCATGTTCAGAAGACAAGGGGGAGCAATTAACCCTAATCATATTAAACTTCAGAAGTTGGAAATGAAGCATCTGTAAACTTATCAAGTACACAAAGTAACAGACTACAAAGCCTAATTTCTAAAAGCAGACTAATCACTCAAACATCCTTTAAAGTAAGTAAAAGAAACAAAACAGCCCAGGTCAGTTTGGCTCAGCAGTCAGAGTGAGAGCCCACGGACTGAAGGGTTGTGGGTTCGAGCCCTGGCCCCAGTCAGGGTCTTGGAGGAGACAATCAATCAATGTGTCTCTCTCACATCAATGTTTCTCTCCCCTTCCCTCCCTTCCACTCTATCTAAAAATCAATGGAAAAATGTCCAGCCAGTGTAGCTCAGTGGTTGAGCCTAGACCCATGCACCGAGAGGTCACTGGTTCGATTCCTGGTCACAGGACACATACCCAGGTTGTGGGCCCGATCCCCAGTGGGGGGCATGCAGAAGGCGGCCAATCAATATTCTCTCTGATCAATATTTCTATTTCTTTCCCTCTCCCTTCCTCTCTCTAAAAAAACCAATAAAAAAAATTTATTTAAAAAATCAATGGAAAAATATCCTCGAGTGAAGATTAACAAACAAAAACAAAAAACACAACACTTTGTTAATTTCCATTTATATAAGAAAAAAGTATCACCTACAATAGGATTCCTTCAATAACAAACTTTCTTCAGAGTATAAATTTGGAAAATTAACTGGGCCCGGCTGGTGTGGCTCAGTGGTTGAGCATCAACCCATGCACCAAGAGGTCACCATTTTGATTCCCAGTCAGGGCACATGCCCAGGTTATGGGCCCAATCCCCAATAGGGAGCATGCAGGAGGCAGCCAATTGATGTTCTCTCTCATCGGTTTTTATCTCTCTCCCTCTCCCTTCTTCTCTTTCTAAAATCAATAACAGAAAAATCACTTAAAAAAAAAAGAAGAAGAAAATTAACTGGTTATAACTACAGTGCGTTAATTGGCTACAAAAGTCTTTTAAGTGTACCAAATGCCATTAAATCCTAGATGCTGGAGATTATAAAATGCAATGTATTTTATGTAACTTTAGCAAAGAAAAAAAAAGCTGTCAATTAGGCTATAGCATAATGCTTACTTTTTTTTTTTTAATCCTCACCTGAGGATATTCCATTTATCTTCAGATAGAGTGGGAGGAAAGGAGGAAAGAAGGGAGAGAGACATCTATTGGTTGCCTCCCACATGCTCCCCCCCCCCCCGCTGGATGGAACCACAAACAAGGTACATGCTCTTGACTGGAATCGAACCCATGACTCCTTGGTCTGCCCACCAACATTCTAACCACTGAGCCAAACTGGCCAGGGTGCATAATGCTTATTGATGACATCCTGTCTTCAAGATTAAAATGGGAACAAAATTGCTTTAGAATTAAAAAAATACTGGAATCTTAAACATATCATTCAAATGGTTAGAAGCTCAGAAGAAAAATTATCCACAAAATATAATCTTGAGTACTAAGAAAGTGATCTACCCCTAGTATAATGCAATAAAATTAGTGGTCCAACACAAGTCCTAATCTGTTTGAACTGCCAGAAAGATAAATCAAAGCTTTTAGCAGATATATAATTAATCAAATGAAAGTCATCCCCACCCTGCTGCCCCGAAAATTGGTCTTGAGATTAAAAGCCACTGTTCAGCCCTGGCCGGTTTGACTCAGCGGTTGGAGCGTTGGCCTGCAGTCCAGAGAGACCCAGATTTGGTTCCCGCTAAGGGCACGTACCTCGGTTTCAGTGTGTCCCTGGCCCTGGTTGGTTGTGCAGGTGGCAGCCACTCAATGTGTCCCTTCACATCGATGTCTCTCTCTCTCTCTCTCTCTCTCTCTCTCTCTCTCTTCCTCTTTCTCCCTCCGGCTCTATCTGAACAAAAAATAGAAAAATGTCCTCGGGTGAGGGTAAAAAAAATAAATAAAAGCCACTGTTCAGTGATGAAAATGATGAAAACAACTGTAAAGAGCATAAGTGCACTCAGTAACAGCTGGTCTTTTAGCATGAGAAGTTCACTGCATACTTAGACAAAAGGTGCAGTGTAGTGTTACATTCCAGCCCACCTGCTACACTAACAAAAATTGGCTCTACTAGACAATATCCATATATGAGAAATGTTAAGTACAGTAAAAGAATAATCATATGCTTAAAACTGACAGGGGGGGAAGTATTTGTTTACAACAAATTTATAATTTTTAAAAAGTTGAAAGCTAACATGGAATCAATACCTTGGGTTTTTCTTTTCCCTTCCAAGAAGCTGAGGCAGATTCAAGATTTTGTCAGTACTACAACAAGCTTTTCCATATCTGATTGTACACAAGATGTTAAATCTTACCCACATGGAAAAAATTCAATATAATTCATGCTTAGTACTTTAAACACTAAAATGTTTATATGCATTTTGTATCTAAGGGATTTTTAAAAATTACTTCAACTTCTCATGATAGTCTTTCAACAAAGCCTCTTTTGAGAGTGCCAACCCATAAATTTAGGAAAACACTCCATTATATGCTTTTCTTCCAAATCTTAACCACTTTCAGAATTTTGCTAGAGACACCTCAATGAACCAGAAAACGACTTGCCAGTACCTCCAGCTAACTACACTATGTTTTGACACAACTTTTAGGAAACACAAGGCAGATCAGAAAACAAATTGATTTCAGGACTCTTTTAAAAAGTCCTGGTTCATTTACTCAGCAAAATCCAAGGGCCCAGAACAAGTCTCCAACCAATTAGTCTTACCTGGCAGGGTCATCCAGCTGGCTTGGGTGGCCAGGACAGTCTTCCCAAGTTTGCTGGGATTTCCAGAGGGGGTTAAGGCAGTAATGGGAGGCCCTCGCCTGGTTTAAGGACTTTCTCTAAAACTTCTTTCTTCTCTCCCCACCTGATCTCTCCCCCCAGCCTCTACAATTTTAGCTTATGGCTAACCACCCTCAACCATGGAAATCCTAAGACTTCAGCATAGGAACAGCACGTTCTTCAGAAAACAAACACCCAGACCACCTTTTAAAAATTATCTAAGGCACAAAAGCCCATACCAAAAAATAACAATTCATCAATGCTGAGGAAGGCACAGAATTCTCTTCAACCTCTAAAGAAAGATCCCAATGTACGTAATGTCTTCTATTTACTACAACTGAAAAGTACAAGTTGGGGCAAAAGGAGGTTTACAGTTGTTGCCTCCTCACAACTGTACACGTTATCTTGGAAAAAAATTTTGTTCAATTCTTGAATGTGAACGGTTTCTTACTTCTCTGGTCATTCAAATGAACTAGAACCCGAGCATACTACTCCGAAATCAAGACTTCACCTAAAAGTTTTCCTCTAAATTAAGTTAGAATTTGTATTCTTTTCAGAAATTAGTTTCTACAGTATCCTCCACAATGACAGAATGCAGACTGACTTAGTAACAAATTACCTTTTTTGGACGGAAAGAAACCTGACCTTCAACTCCCCCTTAATCCGCTGTCTCCTGTCTGCAAGGGGAGAAGGACCGGCGGCTGTGCGCGAAGCCTGGGGGGAGCGGGCATTCAGCGGATGCCCGTCAACACCGGAGTCCTCCGATCGCAAGTTGGGCCATTCCCAAACCCTGCCCCACCCCTCCGGGGTCGGCCGCCAGTCCCCGATTCCAGACCGCCTTGGCCTTGCTGTGGTGAAACGAAACCTCGTCGCTCAAGGAGACCCAGGAGGAGGGCGGCGGATCCTCCGGGCGGGCGGTCCGGTGACCTATCCCACCACACCCCGGTAACCAACCTCTTCCGCCCACCAATCCGAGGGGGCAAGAGCCCCCGCCCAACTCCACCGACAGACAGCCTGGCGTCGGGACACCGGGGACGCCTGCGCAGAACCGGCCTCCCATCCTCCGGGCCCCTCCGCTGGGAAGGGTAACAATACCCCCTCAGAAAGACAGACAGGGTAGGAGGAGGGGGGGCTCGGTACGCGTCTGCGCGCTCCCCAGACGCCTTGTCCCGACCCTGCTTATGCCGCCAGCCCAGCGCCCCTGGTGCTCAACCGTCTCCGTACGAGAGCGCCCGCGCGCTACCACCGCTCGCGCTGACAGGGTCTCCTCACCTGAGCCGGGCTCCGCCCCCCTGCTCGCTGGAGAAGGCAGTGACCCTTCTCCGATCCGACTCGACAGTGTCAGAGGAGGCGGGAACGTACAGGCTGGCGTCTCCGTGATGGGATTTCCTCCCCCTTCCGCCCACCCTCTTCGTCCACCCCGCCTCTCGTCCCCCAGCCCTTTCAGCCCTTTCGCCGCCTTAGTCTGAGAACACCGCGGCGGCGGCCGACAGTAAACGGAAGTGACGCAATGCGATAGCGCCTGCTCCACCTCCTCCCCTCGGACCAATTGTAACCAATCAGCAAGGGAGGGGCTGGGGCGGGGCAGAGGAGCAGCCAATCAACGCGCGGAATTCGGAAGAATTTACTAGGCCCCGGATCACTGACCAATCCACGGTCCCAGGAGTCTCCCTGTGTTTACTACCGACCGAATCCGTGAGCGCTGTGACCAATCACCGTTTGGTTTACAACACGTAAAACTGATATCAAACGCCTTTAAGGCGGGATTCATCACTAAGCGACTCTAGGTTTGAGCTACAGAAAAGCGAATGTGTGTCACAACCAATCAAGTCCCAATGTGATTGAGGCAAACGGGTTTTCTGTCTAATTCCACCGCTCACAATCACGACTGCCAGGAGGCAGGCCCTCAGGGTAGTGCGTCGCGTCATTCGCGGCCCCTGAAGGATTTTCCCACCCTCCAGCGCTGGCTCTTCCGTAGCTCCCTGGCTCCTATCGAAAGAGAGCGCTTCGCGGGTCTCACACATGCACTGATTAGAAGTTGAATTCTCGCGTCGTAGACTTTGGAAAAACTAAAATTCCAAGAGCTGTTTAGGTTGAATTAGCTGAAATCCAGGTTAAAAACGTTGAACCAACGCTATGGCAGTTGGGTCCGACACTGCCCCAAGTCCAGTGCCCGGGATGGCTTCTCGCAGCATAGGCGCCGGAGGAGAATGACGGGCGGGTCCGGGCTTCCGACTCGCACATTGCTCCACATTTCGTGCCGCAGGTGATTGAAACCTGCAGTCTCCAAAACCATCTTCCCAAAATACATTAGACCCGTGGAACGGTCGTGGACTTCTGTGAGACGCTGTCAGAAAAGAGCAAGCTCTGAGGCGGCTCCCGGGATCTCAGATGCACCCTTGGATGGTGAGTCCGAGCCCTGAAGGAAGACTGGCCAGTGTGGCCTGTTCAGGAGCTCAGCGTGGACCCTGAGACAAAGGCAGGCTGGGGAACCCCTCAGGTTTCTTTTAGGGGAGAGGGAGGGAAGGAAGGAGTAGACTTTTAAAAAAAGGAACATTTTGCCCAGCTGGTGTGGCTCAGTGGTTGAGCCTAGACCCATGCACCAAGAGGTCGCCGGTTGGATTCCCAGTCAGGGCACATGCCCAGGTTGTGGGCCAAATCCCCAGTGGTGGCATTCAGGAGGCAGCCAGTCATTGTTCTCTCTCATGGATGTTTCTATCTCTCTCTCTCCCTCTCCCTTCCTTTCTCTCTAAAAATCAATAAAGAAAAAAAAAGACACCTTTTTTTATATATATATTTTTTTTGTTCAGATAGAGTGGGAGAGAGAGAGAAACATCAACATGAAAGGGACACATCGAGTGGTTGCCACCCTCACAACCCAACCAGGGCCGGGGACAAACTGCAACGGAGGTACGTGCCCTTAGCGGGAACCGAACCCGGGTCTCTCTGGACCGCAGACCGATGCTCTAACCACTGAGCCAAACTGGCCAGGGCAAGACACCTTTTTTAAAGGAACATCTCGCTGCCTCAGAAATTAACAACCAGATATTATTACAGCTGATGCATCTCTTCAGACATTACAGGTTGGAAACATTGTGATTTGGGGTTTCTTTCTTTGAAGCCTCAATGAAGTCTGATGGTAAATTCTGTTCTTTAAGATTCCCTGACATTTTATAGCCCTTACAGATATTTTATTGCTACACTTGGCAGTAAAATGAAAAGATAAAGAATGCTGACAATAAGCAGGCTTAATTCTCAGTGACCTGGACCAGCACCCAGAGATTAACCTCACCATTGATGGTGATGATGAAGTAGATGCTGATCTCAGTCTCACCAAGGCAGTGGTCGCTGCCTGACCCATAAGATTGGGGTGGGCTATGCAAGTCACTTCATCTTGATCATTGATTTCAGGAGAAGATTCAAAGAACCTTCGGAATGAGTGGCACAAGGGAAATCACCATGGAGGTTATTCCAATGGCCTATGTCACAGTGAGCCGAGGTGTGACTCAGAAGTGTGGGGGCTTAATTGAACCTCAAATGGATGTCAATAAGGTAGATCCATGGTGACAGACAATGGGAATTTTATCCTGGACTGGAAGCTTAACCTAGTACACAAATGGAGTGAAGTGAACAACACAGCTATCAAAATGATCCCAGGTGTGGTGGACACAGGCCTATTCATCAACATGGCTGAGAGAGTCTACTTCAAGATGCAGGATGGTTCAGTGAACATGAGGGAGAGACCTTTTTATTGACCCTGCAGGACTGGAGTATGTTCACCTTGAGTCCCAAGCCCACAGCAGAGGTGGACATGACTCTCCAGGAGCCTTGCCTTAATGTATCTGTGCCAAGTGGACAGCTGTCAGGGTGAGGGTTGGAGTTAAATCCAGTCTTCTTGTATTGTTACTAAATGTCTTCTTTAAAAAAGAGACATAAGCCCTGGCTGGTGTGGTTCAGTGGTTAGAGTGTCAGCCCATAAACTGAAGGGTTGCGGGTTCGATTCCTGGTCCAGGGCATGTACCTGGGTTGCAGGTTCAATCCTCGGTCCTGGTCAGGGTGCATTCAGGAGACAACCAGTTGATGTCTCTCTCTCACATCGATGTTTCTCTGTCTACACTGCCCCCCTCCCTCCCTTCCACTCTCTGAAAATCAATGGAAAAAATGTCCTCGGGTGAGGATTTTTAAAAAAGTTTAAAAAGAGAAATATAAACATACATATTTTTACTGTTAAAAATAAAAGAATAGGACTTCCAGTCAAGATGGCAGTGGTATCGCCTCCTCCCACAACCACATCTGAATTATAATTAAACTGCGGCACAACCATCATTCAGAACCGCCTGAAATCGAGCTGAATGGAAGTGCCACAACTATGAAATTAAAGAAGTAGCCACACCGAGACTAGTAGGAGGGGCAGAGGCGCAGACAGGCTGGTCCCATACCCACGTATGGTGGATAAAAATCAGGAGGGATACCTAGACTGGGAAGGTCCTCCCTGAGGAGTGAGGGGTCCCCGCCCCACACCAGGTGCCCAGCTCAAGGTTCCAGTGCCAGGAAGAGAAGTGCCCATCACCCTATGAAGCCTAGCAGACATAGCAACTCTACCTAATACATAGAAACAATTACAGGGAAGCAGCCAAAATGAGGAGACAAACATGTCCCAAATGAAAGAAAAGAACAAAACTCCAGGAAAAGAATTAAACAAAATGGAAACAAGCAATCAATCAGATGCAGAGTTCAAAACACTGGTTATAAGTTTGCTCAAGGAACTTGGTGAGACATTCAAGGAACTTAAGGAGACCTCCAAGGAACTTAGTGAGAACATCAACAATATTAAAAAGGACCAGTCAGAAACGAAGGATGCACTAACTAACATAAAGATTAATTTACAGGGAATCAATAGTAGAGTAGGTAAAGCAAAAAGAAAAATGAATAAAAAAATGAGAATAGTGTAAGGAGCCTCTGGGACAACTTCAAGCGTGCAAACATTCGTATTGTGGGGGTGCCAGAAGGAGAAGAGAGAGAGCAAAAAATTGAAAACCTATTTGAAACAATAATGACAGAAAACTTCCCTAACTTGGTGAAGGAAACAGACATACAAGTCCAGGAAGCACAGAGAGTCCCAAACAAGATGAACCCAAAAAGGTCCACACCAAGACACATCATCATCAAAATGCCAAAGGTTAAAGACAAAGAGAGACTCTTGAAAACAGCAAGAGAAAAGCAGTTAGTTACCTACAAAGGAGCTCCCATAAAACTGTCAGTTGATTTCTCAAAAGCAACTTTGCAGGCCAGAAAGGAGTGGCAAGAGATATTCAAAGTGATGAAAAGCACTGACCTACAACCAAGATTCCTCTATCTTGCAAAGCTATCATTTAGAATCGATGGACATATCAAGAGTTTCCCAGACAAGAAAAAGCTAAAGGAGTTCATCGCCACCAAACCAGAATTATATGAAATGTTGAAGGGTATTCTTGTAGGAGAAGAAGAACAAAAATATGAACGATAAAATGGCAATAAATACATATCTATCAACAATTGAATCTACAAACAAAATGAGCAAGCAAAACAGAAACAGACTCATAGATACAGAGAATTTTTTGTTGGTTGCCAGGTGGAAGGGAGCTGGGGGGATGGGTGAAATTAAGAAGTACAAATTGGTTGTTAGACTGATGAACCTCAAAGGGAAGGGGGGGAAGAGATAAACTAAAGAACTTCTATGTGTATATGCATAACCAAAGGACACAGACAATAGTGTGGGGAGAGCAGGAGGGGATGGGATTGGGGAGGAGGAGGTCAATGTAGGAAAAAGAGGGGACATCTGTAATACATTCAACAATAAAGGTAAGTTAAAAAAATAAAACAAAAAAATAATAAGTGTTGGCAAGGATTTGGAGAAACTAACCCTGTGCACTGTTAATAGGAGTGTAAAATGGTACGGCCACTATGGAAAACAGAATGGCATTTCCTCAACAAATTAAAAATAGAATTACCAACCTGGCTGGTGTGGCTCAGTGGGTTGAGCATTGGCCCATGGACTGAGAAGTCCCAGTTCAATTCCCTATCAGGGCATGTGCCTGGGTTTCTAACTTGATCCCTGGGGAAGGGGAGGGGTGCGGGAGGCAACGGATCAATGTTTCTCTCTCACTTTGATGTTTCTATCTCCCTCTCTCTCTAAAAAATCAATAAAAACATATTAAAAAAATAGAATTGCTATAGTATTCAGTAATTCCACTTCTAACTATATATCCGAAAAAATTAAAAGCAGTGTTTCAAAGAGATTATTTGTATAATTATGTTTACATTAGCATTATTCATAATAGCTAGAATATGGGACCAACCCAAATGTTTATCAGTAGATGAATGGATAAGCAAAATGTGGTATATACATACAACGTAGTATTGGAGTATTATTCAGCCTTAAAAAGGAAGGAAATTCTGATGTGCTATGATATGGATGAAACTTGAGGACATTATGGTAATGTTTGCCTTTAGATGGGGAAGGGATCATCGGTTACTATAATTGCATTTTTTATATTTTCCTAATATTGGGCATCAAAATTGCATTGGTTTGATAATTTTTTATAAAAACCTAATAAATGTGGTTGCGAAAAATTAAATGTCTGAATAAACTAAATCTAACATGATTTAACAGGTCTTCATATAAAGCTCTGAATAATTGTGTGTGTGTGTGTCTGTGTGTTTTTTTAACGCAGGGATGATGTGACTTAGCAGAAGAGAAGTCAAGAATTTTTGTTTATTAGCCCTAAGTTAACTGAACAGTATAGATGGTTAGAATAAATGCACATGTTGGTTTCATTAGGAGAGGCATGGCAAATAGCACAAGGGAGGTGATGGGTCCTCTGTAGTATTGATTCATATTGGACCAACACACTTGGAAAAGGCTCCAGATATATTGGTGTGTGTCCAGCAGTGGTGACCAGGATGAGGACAGACCTAGGGACTTTGGTATGTGAAATAGCTGAGGGACTAGAAAGAGTTGAAGAGGAGAAGAGCAGATAAATGAAAGCATGATCAGAGTAGTCAGGCATTTGAAGGGCTCAGGCCCTGGAGAGCAGAACTGGACTCAGGGGGAAGCTAAGAAGGCAAATTTAGTTCCAGATAAGGGAAAAAACCTGTCCAAGGTGAAAAGTCTGCCTTATAAGAAATGAGTTGTGCCCAGCCAGAGTGGCTCGGTTGAGCGTCATCCCTGGTTCGATTTCCAATCAAGGCACATACCTGGTTTGCGGGTTTGATATCTGGTCAGGGAGAATGCAGAGGGCGACCAAACAATGCTTCTCTCTCTAAGCATGTCCTTTGTTGAGAATTAAAAATAATAATAATAAAGAAATGAGTTGTCCATGTTCATAGGTATGAAAGCAGAATCTGCATAAAAATATGAAAGTGGCCCTGGCCAGTTTGGCTCAGCGGTTAGAGTGTTGGCCTGCGGTCTGGAGAGACCCGGGTTTGGTTCCTGCTAAGGGCACGTACCTCGGTTGCAGTTTGTCCCTGACCCTGGTTGGGTTGTGTGGGTGGCGACCACTCGATGTGTCCCTTTCACGTCGATGTTTCTCTCTCTCTTTCTCCCTCCCACTCTAGCTCAACAAAAAATATCGAAAAATGTCCTCGGGTGAGGATAAAAAAAAAAAAATGAAGGTGGAGAAAGGGAGAGACAGAAGGGAGAACAGGAGAGTGAGACAAACACAGGAAAAGAAAGGAATAAAAGAGTCAAGAGGCTGAAGAAAGGAAGAGAAAAGGTGAGGCAGAAAAAGAAACATTTTGGAGAGTACAAGGTGAATTGTGGCAAACACATGGTGGGAGTTCTGACCTGCCTTTTCAAGTCTTCATTAGCGATATCTTGAAATGCCAGCAGATGGAGATATTACCCCAGAAAAGGAGGACTGCCTCCCCCATTTCTTACTTTAAATGCTCCTGTTTGAAATTGGGAAAATCATGACAAGTGCTCAAAAGGAGCTAAGGTATAAGGGTTTTTCGAAGCATCCTGGGTGTGTTCGGGAAGAGGATGAATCTTAAAGGAGATTTGGAGAACAGAGATTCAACCCGGATTCTTGGGGTTCAGCGATATCACCTCTTTTGACAGAGTACTGAGTCCATCCTTAAGGCCCTGCTTTGGCCCTTCTCCAGCTTTGATAACTCCCCATATGGAAGGAGGGTTGAATCTGCAAGGACAATGGGACTTGCCAATCAGATTAGCCTCCCCCACTTCTAGTTCACTGGAGTGTCTCCTGTCCAAACACTACTGGGCCTGCTGGGCCTCTCCCCGGGTCCATCCTCCGAGGGTTGATTGGGCCACAGATGAATGCGTGCCTAGGCTGGAGGAATGATCATGGCTGGGAGCTGTTTGCAGCATTGTGGATGAAGCTTGGACTTAAGGACTGGATGTCCACGGGTGTGCATGGAGGCCCCAGAGAGCCAGCTGCCACATTTAGTTGGGGCTCCAGGAGTGCCTGTCAGAGAATTCTAAATTTGAACTTGACCTTTTAGGTCTTGGTAAGATATACTTGTCACCGTAGGAGAGAGAGATCATACTCTAGACCAAGCTGAGCAAGAAGAAACCCCATATGACTGTTAGAAACTGCAAGACTTTTAGGAGCTTCGGACCCTTGTCCCACACAACTCTTCAGAGTGCAGGTGGAGTGGTGGACGCATCAGGTGTTGCGCCTCGGTGAGGCAGGCCACCGATGGGGCGACGCACAGTGTGGAGACCACGACTCTTCGCTCGGAGGGTCGGGTCGGGATGAAGGGTGGGCGGGAAGGGCGAGCCTCAGCTTTCACCGCAAAAGCGCGGAGGGGGCGGAGTCTTATGGGGGCGGAGCCACGCAGCTCTGCTAGCGCAGGGCGGTGCCCAGCTACGTCACGCCTCTTCCGGTCCGCCGCGTTGCCTCCGCATGTCGACGAACGCGCTGGTGGCTGAGGCTCTCTTAACTTTTGGGCTTGGGGTTCAGAGAGGGGACATGGCGAATGAGGTGCTGCCGAGTGCGAAGTGGCTGTACTGTGGGGAGCCCGACGAGAGCCAGAGAGCTGTACTGGGTAAAGAGTGCGGAACTGGAGCAGAGTTCCCATAACTCCCCGTCCTGTTCGGTACCTTTACAGTCCTCCCGCCCCCCGCACCGGGCCCCTTTCCCACCTGGGCCAAGACGCCCCCCACTTAGTGTCCACCGCTACTTGGGGCTCGGCCAGAGCTCCTCTATCATTCCAGTATCTTTCTTTTACCACCTTCCGCCTAGATGAGGACGTTCCAGTCCCCCTCCCCAGGGATTTACCCAGGATTTTGTCATCCCCTCATTCACCAGGTCTTAGCCCTGCTCCATTTCCTTGTCGCCAATGGACAGAGATACCCTTTGTTTCTCTAGGTCTGGACGAGGCCTCTTCAGTCAGCCCCATTCCCCTAGTTATTCCCTGTCGCAGCCCCTCCCCGGGATTCCCCTCACCTCCCCATCCACTCTTTCCAAGTGGACCAGAAGCTCCTTCAGTCCCACTTAAGGTCGGGACCTGGGCTTCCCTGCCATCCTCATTCCCCCAATCACTCCTTCCCATTGACAATCCAATTCCTCCCCACCATACTTTGTGATTCTTTTTTATCTCATCTATCTCGTTCTTGGGGGCTGTGATCTTACAGTTCAGTTCTCCAATGGGAAGCTGCAGAATCCAGGTAACATGCACTTTACCTTGTACAAGAGCAAGGACTCCACAAATCCCAGGAAGAGGAGTCAGCGGATCTTGGTAAGTGCAGCAGTGGCCAATTGCCTCCACTCTGCAGGCTTCAGTAGACCCACTGGGTGTGGTGGATGTGGGAGGGAGTGAGAGGAGAAAAGGGGGAGATAGCAAATGATCTTTTGAAGAACTCTTCTGAGCCCCAGCAGGTTGGGGTGTGGGGACAGGCTTCATTCAGTTTCATATTTTTGGCCTTTGGTACTTTTGAACTGATGGCCTTTCATTCATTAGTTCATTCAACAAGCATTTATTATTTACTGTGGCTCTGTGCTGTAAGCTGCTGGAGAAACAGCTAAATCAGACCTGGCCCATTTGGGGGGAGTTTGTCCTCTAGTGTGGGGTTTCTCAACCTTGGCTTTATTGACATTTTGACCCAGATAATTCTTTGTTGTGGGGCCAGACCTGTGCATCACAGAATGTTTAGTAGCTTCCCTGGCCTCTACCCACCATGTATCAGTAGCACTTCCTAGTTGTGACAACCAGAATGTCAGACATTCCCAGATGTCCCTGGAAGAGGTATTTCCTTGGGTTGAAAACCACTGTTCTAGAGAGTTTTTTGAGATTTTACCCAATCTCAAACTTACAGAAAAATTCCTCATAGGGTACAAAGAACTCTAGAGAGGTGGGAACTGGATGCAAGGGACACTCATACAAGTAGACAAAGCTCAGGGCCTGAGCAAGGGAGAGTACAAGCCGTCTAAATCTCTGCTTGCTAGAATGTCTTCTTGGGAAGGGCACATGGAGCTGAACTCTGAAGGATGGAGGAAGGTTTGACAGCTGAGGCTTAGTATTCCAAGTGAAGAGGATAGCAAAGACAAATATAGGGAAACAGGAAAACTTAGCTGTAGTTGAGGAGTAAATCAGCCATTCTCATGGTCCTAAGAGCATGTAAGAAGCAGTCATAGGAGAGGTAGGCAAAGAGGTATAAGAAGGGCTTGGACTTCCAACCCAGGAGATTGCCTATAAGATCATATTATTACATGTCTTGGGAGCCCAGAGCATGTCTCTGAAGTTCTGCGGCGCAGCTTCCCCAAGAACTTTTCAGACCAACTAGAAGTCAGCACTGTCTGGGGCTTTCCTTTCTAAAGTCCTCTTGTCTTTCCTCCATGGACACACCAGATTTACTTAGAGATAGTGGGGATAATTGTCTCCCAGAGGCTCTCTAGTTCTAATCCACAGTAGTTGGATTCTAAAGCTTTTTACAAATACAGAAAAGGAGACAAGATGCTTAATACCTTTCAACATTGGTTGTGATAGAGCTTTTCTCCCTTTACATTTTAGGCAGCTGAAACAGACAGACTTTCCTATGTGGGAAACAATTTTGGGACTGGAGCCCTCAAATGCAACATTCTGTGCAGGTAGGGACAGCTGGAAGGGGAGGGGAGGGGAGTGGTAGTGGCCCTGACACTGCTGTTCTCAGTCTTTTTATTTTTTTTCTTTATTTATTTTAGAGAGAGAAGAAGGGAGAGGGAGAGAGAGATGGAAACATTGATGAGAGAAAAACATCCATCTGCTGCCTCCTGCACACCCCCTACTGGGGATCAAGCCTGCAACCTGAGCTTGCAATTGATGTCCTGACCGGGACTCAAACCAGTGACCTCTTCAGTGTATGGGACCATGCTCAACCAACTGAGCCAAACCAGCCAGGGCAGAATGTAGATGTTCTTGAAAAGAAATTTGACTTATTAACATTTGTTGAATTCCCTAAAAACTTCATTTATTTGTAATATTCTTAAAACTTTTTTCCTTTTTTTTTTTTAAACTTATCTTTATTGTTGAATGTATTACAGGTGTTCCTCCTTTTTCCCCTATTGAACCCCTCCTGCCTTTACCCACACTGTTGTCTCTGTCCATTGGTTATGCATTTATGCATGTAAATTCTTTGGTTTATTTCTTCCCACCCTCCACCCCCTTTCCTTTGAGGTTTGTTAATCTAACAACCAATTTGTACTTCTTAATCCCTTCACCTTTTTCATCTATTCCCCCAACCCCCCTCCCATCTGGCCACCAACAAAATGTTCTCTGTATCTGTGAGAATGTTTCTGTTCTGCTTGTTCATTTTATTTGTAGATTGATATGTATTGTCAATAGATATGTATTTATTGCCATTTTGTTTGTTCATATTTTTGATCTTTTTCTTCAAGAAGACCCTTCAACTTTTCACAGAATACTGGTTTGGTGGTGAGGAACTCCCTTAGCTTTTTCTTGTTTGGGAAACTCTTTATGTCCATCGATTTTAAATGATAGTTTTGCAGGATAGAGGAATCTTGGTTGTAGGTTCTTGCGTTTCATCACTCTGAATATTTTTTGCCACTCCCTTCTGGCCTGCAAAGTTTCTTTTGAGAAAGCAGCTGACAGCCCTGGCCGGTTTGGCTCAGTGGTTAGAGCGTCGGCCTGCGGTCCGGAGAGACCCGGGTTCGGTTCCCGCTAAGGGCACGTACTTCGGTTGCAGTTTGTCCCCGGCCCTGGTTGGTCGTGCGGGTGGCAGCCACTCGATGTGTCTCTTTCACGTCGATTTTTCTCCCTCTCTCTCCCTCCCACTCTATCTGTACAAGGATTGGAAAAATGTCCTCGGGTGAGGATAAAAAAAAAACCAACTCTTTATTTAAAAAAAAAAAAAAAAAGAAAGCAGCTGACAGTCTTATGGGAGCTCCCTTGTAGGTAACTAACTGCTTTTAAGATTCTGTCTTTGTCTTGAACCTTTTGCATTTTGATTGTGATGTGCCTTGGTGTGGGCCTCTTAGGGTTCATCTTGTTTGGGACTTCTGTGCTTCCTGGACTTGTATGTCTGTTTCCTTCACCACGTTAGGGAAGTTTTCTGTCATTATTGTTTCAAATAGGTTTTCAATATCTTGTTTTCTCTCTCCTCCTTCTGGCACCCTCACGATACAAATGTTGGTACACTTGAAGTTGTCCCAGAGGCTCCTTACACTATCCTCATTTTTTTAAATTCTTTTTTTTTTTTTGCTGTTTTGATTGAGTGTTTTTTGCTTTCTTATATTCCAAATTCATGATTTGCTTCTTGGCTTTACCTACTCTACTATTGAATCTCTGTAAATTATTCTTTTTTTTTCATCTTTCCTTTATTGATTTTGGAGAGAGAGGAAATGAGAGAGAGAAAGAAACATCATTGAGAGAGAACATCGATTGGCCACCTCCTGCATGCCCCCCACTGGGGATCAGGCCCACAACCTGGGCATGTGTCCTGAACCAGTGACCTCTTGGTTCATGGGTCGAAGCTCAACCACTGAGCCACACCGGCTGGACTGTAAATTATTTTTATTTCAGTTAGTGCCTCCTTCATTTCTGACTGGTCCTTTTTTATGCTTTTGAGGCCCTCACTAAGTTTACTGAAGTTCTCACTAAGTTCATTGAGCATCCTTATAAGCAGTGTTTTGAACTCTGCATCTGTTAGATTGCTTATCTCCATTTCATTTAGTTCTACCTGGAGTTTTATTCTGTTCTTTCATTTGGGACATGTTTCTTTGCCTCCTCATTTTGGCTGCTTCCCTGTGTTTGTTTCTATGTATTAGGTAGAGTTGCTATGTCTCCTGAGCTTCCTAGCGTGGCCTATTGTCCTAGAGGGTCCGGTTGCACAGCCTCCCCGATCACCCCAGCTGGGCCCTCGAGGTGCACCCCTTGTGTGGACTTTATACCCTTCTGTTGTAATTGAGTCTTGATTGCTGTTGGCATATCAATGAGAAGGTTTTACTCAGGCTGATGAGCTGCAAGGACTGACTGTGTCCACTGACCACCAATCTCTGACTACCTTGGTTGAACAGCTGTGCAGGGGCCCACCACACAGAGCAAGACTTACTTCAGCAGGGTTCTGATATCCACTGAGTCCATTCCTTGAGTGTGCCACTTGTGGAGGTGGTTGGGTGGTGGTGCTTTGCAGTGGTCTGAAGCTGTCCACTGGGTGTGCTGGCTCTGGGGCCAGGTCAGCCACTGCCTGTGTTCTACCCGGGTCACCAGGCATAAGCTACAAAGTGATCTACAGATGGCTGCTTCTTGTGCTGGGCTGGGAGGTGCCCAGGCAAAGCCAAGTTGTGAATGAAGGCTGGCTGCTTCTAGTGCCAGGCCTGGGGCCACTTAACGAAAAGTAAGTGGCTCACTGAGACTAGCTGCTGCTTGTTTGAGAGAATTTAGGAAAACCTGAAGCAGGAGCCAAGAAAGGCCATTCCTATGGTAAAACCACTAGGAAAAGCTTGGGAGGGCCTGAAATTTGGGTGGGGTAGGGCCTCAGGGAATCACCAGGGCGGGGGGGGCAACAGTGTGAGCCTGGTTGCTGGAGTCCCAGATATGGCAGCCTACTTCTGCCTTGTGGGGGAAGGGCTCACCAAAGGAACAAAGGCCTCCGACAGCACATCTATCCAGAAGAAAGCTGCCTCTCCAGCCCTCGCCCCAATGCCAAACAACTCAGTTCTTCCCCATGTCTCCGGTGCCTTTCGAGCTGCCCCCGCTCCATGCTGGAGCTCAGAGGGAGCAAGTCCGACAAAGTCTGTGTGCAGGCCCTTTAAGAGGAGCTGCCTGGTGCTGGAGCAGCCTCAGCCTCCCGCAGCCTCAGTTCCCGCTGGTTTTTACAGCCAGAAGTTATGGGGACGTCTCTTTCTGGCACTGGAACTCTGAGCTGGCAACCTGGTGTTGGGGGGGACCCCTCCCTCCTCAGGGAGAACCTTCCCAGCCTAGGTATCCCTCCTGGTTTTTATCTACCACATATGGGTGTGGGACCAGCCTGTCTGAGCCTCTGCCCTTCCTACCAGTCTCAGTGTGGCTTCTTTAATTTCGTAGCTGTAGGACTTCCATTCAGCTTGATTTTAGGCTGTTTTGAATGATGGTGGTTCTGTAGTTTAGTTGTAATTTTTATGTGGTTGTGGGAGGAGGTGATACCGCATTTACCTATGCTGCCATCTTTAAAAATTTTTTTCCTTATTGATTTTAGAGAGAGAGAGGAAAGGAGAGAGAGAGAGAGAAACATGGATGAGAGAGAATGTTGATCAGCCACCTTCTGCATATTCCATACTGGGATTGGGCCCACATCCGGGACTTGTACCCTGACTGGGAATCGAACCGGTGACCTCTTGGTGCATGGGTCAAGGCTCAACCATTGAGCCACACTGGCTGGGCATATTTGTAGTATTCTTAAATTTTTAAAACAAATTAAGATATCATTGATGTATAACATATTAGTTTCAGGTATATAACATAAAGATTAGATATATGTATAATGAAATGGTCATCAATTTAAGTCTAGTTAACATTATCACCACACATGGTTACAATTTTTTTCTTGTGATGAGAGCTTTTAAGATTTATTCTCGCCCTGGCCGGTTTGGCTCAGCGGTTGGAGCGTCGGCCTGCGGTCCTGAGAGACCCGGGTTCGGTTCCCGCTAAGGGCACGTACCTCGGTTGCAGTTTGTCCCCGGCCCTGGTCGGTTGTGCAGGTGGCGGCCACTCGATGTGTCCCTTTCACATCGATGTTTCTCTCTCTCTCTGTTCCTCTCTCTCCCCCCCACTCTACCTGAACAAAAAATGGAAAAATGTCCTCCGGTGAGGATAAAAAAAAAAAAAAAAAAGATTTATTCTCTTAGCAACTTACACATATACAATATAGTATTGTTAACTATAAGTCACCATACTATACATTACTTCCCCAGGACTTATTTGTAATGTTGTTTCTAAAAGGCAGCTGTCTTAACTAATATGGAATGTATGATCAGTATTCCAAAGTCAAAAATTTGCTTTACAACGAACTACAGGAAAAGGATTTGGTAGTGTCAAAGGCTCTGGGGTTTCTGTCCAGCTCTGCTGCTGATTGACTGCCTCACTTTAGGCAACTTTGCCCTTCACTGATTCCCTGTCTCTCCCTGCTGCATTTCCCCCCCCCCCCTCCCATTTCCCTACAATGAAGATTGCCCAGCCTGAACAGTCTACAACTGTCTGGGGCTGGCACAATGTAGACAGTATCCTTGTGATGGTATACAACAGTGAGTCACAAACTAGACCCTTTCAGAGCCCCACTGGACCACTCTGATAGAAGTCAGATGAATGAGTGTATGCTTAAAACAATATTAACACTGCATCATCCCTTTACAAAGATTCTTTAGTTCAGACTGGTCTTCCCATAATTACCAAGGCTTTACTTGTCTTTGCCTCCATAAAATTTATGTGTGGAGTAAATTCTAGTGTAATCCTTTATTCTTACATTCTAAAAGGTTTTCCACTGCAGCAGTGAGCCCAAATGTGATCAGCTACCAGAATCACCTGTAGGATATTTTTCTACTTATTATCAGATAGAGTGGGAGGGAGGGAGAGAGAGAAACAGAGAGAAACATCTATGTGATAGAACCACATCGACTGGTTGCTCCTGTAGGTCCCCCCCCCCCCCCGAATCACATCATGAACTCTCCCCATGCAGAGAATTGCTGCTGTGGAGGATATTGTTTCTTCTGAGCAAGTGGTGTATTCCTCAGGTGTATTGGGGCAGAAAGAATGTTGAGAACTTTTAAGCAGGGAAAGGGAAGTTGTACAAACAATACCATTTGAAGAATCCATTGTCACTGGTATTATTCCTTCTTTATTCAGGCACTATGTGGGGATTTTGAACAAGACCTCTGGCCAGATGGAAGTATATGATGCTGAATTATTCAACATGCAGCCACTGTTTTCAGGTAGGTCTCAGTCAAGGCTCAAACAAACACTGCATATTGTAGGTTTGCTGGATGAGTTAGTTAGTTTGAGTTTTCAATTTGTAAAACATTTTGTAGTCATTCATTCATTCATTCATTCATCACCTGAGGATATTTTTCTACTTATTATCAGATAGAGTGGGAGGGAGGGAGAGAGAGAAACAGAGAGAAACATCCATGTGATAGAGCCACATCGACTGGTTGCCTCCTGCACGACCTGACCATGGCTGGGGGCAAACCGCAACCGAGGTATGTGCCCTTGACTGGAATCGAACTTGTGACTCCTTAGTCTGTGGGCCGACACTCTAACCACTGAGCAAAACTGGCCGGGACTGTAGTTATTTTTAAAAGGATGCCTTTCTGTCATTTTTTTTTTCATTTTTACAAGTTTTAAGAGTTTTTACTTAACACGTATTTATTGATGACCTGCTATGCTCCAGGCACAAATTAGGGGCTGTGGATGTAGCAAAACAGAGACAGAGTCTGTCTTCATAGTGTTTACAGACTTTTGACATTGGAAACTAATCTTAAAGTGAGTTGAGCAGTGATCAGAGCAGACTATTGAAGGCCTTTTCTTTTTTTTTAAAGTTTTTTTATTTTTTATTTATTTTTATCCTCACCCGTCCCTGCCCCTCCACCCCCGCCTTCATCACATTGTTGTCTGTGTCTATTGGTTATACAAATATGCATATAAATTCTTTTTTTTTTAATCTTCACCCAAGGACATTTTTGCATTTATCTTCAGATAGAGCGGGGTGGGGGGGGGGAGAGAAGATGGAAGAGAGAGAGAGAGAGAAACATCGATGTGAGAGGGACATATCGTTGCTACCCACATGACCCCAGCTGGGCCAGGACAAACTACAACCGAGGTACGTGTCCTTAGCGGGAACCAAACCCAGGTCTCTCTGGTCCATGGGTCGACGCTCTAACTGCTGAGCCAAACTGGCCAGGGCAGAGGCCTTTTCTTTTCAATTGGAAGCCTTTCTTTCTTTTAAATCCTCACCCGAGGATATGTGTTTATTGATTTTTAGAGAGAGAGGAGGCCGGGGCAGGGGGGAGAGAAACATCAATCAATTGCCTCCTGTACATGACCTCACTGGGGATCAAACCTGAAACCTAGGTAAGTGCCCTGACTGGGAATCAACTTTTTGGCATATGGGATGACACTCCAACCAACTGAACCACCCAGCCAGGGCTGAAGGTCCTCCTTTTTTTTTAAAAGAATAGTTTATTGCCCTGGCCAGTTTGGCTCAGTGGTTAGAGCGTTGGCCTGCAGACCAGTGAGTTGTGGGTTTGATTCCGGTCAAGGTACAAATCGCGTGTACCTTGGTCACGATTTGTCCCCGGCCCTGGTTGGGGTTGTGCAGGAGGCAGTCACTCGATGTGTCCCTTTCACATTGATGTTTCTCTTCCTCTCTCTCCCTCCCTCCCACTGTATCTGAACAAAAGTGGAAAAATGTCTTTGGGTGATGATAAAAAAGAATAGTTTATTGATCATAGAGAGAGAAAGAGGAAGGGAGAGAGAAACATCAATGTGAGAGAGAAATATTGTTTGGCTGCCTCCTGCATGCCCCCACTGGGGATTGAGCCCACAACCCTGGGCATGTGCCCTTGGTCGGAAATCAAAGCGGCAACCTCCTGGTACATGAGACGATGCCCAACCAACTGAGCAATATCGGCCAGGTCCTGAAGGCCTTTCTTAATTGTTGACTCTTCTAGTTGGGATAGAGGTTTTAGAATCTCTGGTAGATGCTGGAAATTTCTTATATGTTGGACAGTAACTTTTATGTTGTTAAAAAGTGTCTATACTTTCTAATTTGGGGGAAGATACATTTTTTTTCCCTAATCCACTGGAAGAAGTTGCATTGCTTCTCTGTTTTGGCATCTTAGAATGCCCAGCGCTAGAGTGGAAGCTTCCAAAATGATAGATAAGAGGGTCAGATCCAGAGGGTCCTGTTTCCTAAATCTTAAATACTGAGAACTATGGTGGGATAGGGTGTTAAATAAGGAAGTTTCCTTAGGATTATGATGAATCTGCCCGATATCTTCAGAGGCATTAGTTCTGATTTTATTCTCTCAAAACAGCAGTCTCACCTATTTGAGAATCTTATAAGGACTTGGACCTACTTCCTGGAAACATACATAATATACATGAGAATATATATATATGAGATTTTTGCATATAATTTTAAAGGGCTCTTGAGTCCCAAAGCCCATCAGTGAATTTCCTAGGGACTACAGTCTCTATGTTAAGAATACCTTGCTTTGCAAACAAATGTAACTGCATTTAAATTATCCAAATGCTCTTTTAACTTTCAAGGAACCAAAGAGAGTTATCTATTAATTTGTCGATTAAACAAATCTTTGGTTTTATAAGTAAGAAATTTGTAAATATTGGTTTTTTATATCCAGCATATTGACCTGGGGTAAATCATTTCATCTAGAGACCTCATTTTTCCTTATTGGTAACATGAAGAGGTGGGACCAGATGGCCCCTTCATTTGTCTCCCTAATTCTCCTAATTCCCTAAGTGTACATGCACTAAAGCTACATACTAAATGTTCAGTATATACCCATGTTAAGCTCTGGGAAGCCCTGGAGTAAAGAAATCCATTTTTCTTCGATTAACTGTTAAATAAATAAATACCGAACACTATTACTATTTGTAGGCCTTACAGTTTGCTTTTTTTTTTTTCTGTTTTCATTTGTTTTATGTTTTGATAGATGAATCAATTGAGAGTGAATTGACGTTAGAGAGTCAGAGCAAAACTTTTAGAGATAAGGTAAGTGTGATGGAACGAAGATGTGGAACCTTAAGCTAGTTTCTTCTAGGTCTTGGGTAAGGGTATCTTTATCAGTAAAATGAGCTGGTTGAACACAGGGGTTCGCTTGCTGATCCCAGCTCATTCATTCTGGGGTTGTCTGGACAGTTTTCTATCTGCAGAAGCCTCTTCAGCCTCATAGCAGCCTACCTCTCTGAGACAGCTATGCACAGTTCTGTGCCAATGCTTTGAACTGGTTCTCTGGGCTGATAGAGGTTTAGCATAACACATGTCTTTAAGATTTAATCCAAGTTTCAGAGAACATTGGTTGTAGCCTGGAAATTTTTCATATTAAAACAGTAAACGTTAGGATTTTCAATGTAGAATATTCCTACAAAACTCATCTCACCCCAAAATGGCAAATTGATTGCATCTTCAGTGCTGCCTGGAGCACTGTATTGAGAAGGGGTGTGAGGCTATCTTCTGGCTCAGAGGGAATGGGTGAGTTGCTCTATTAGCATTGTCTATTATGGGTGTAGGATGGAAAAATGTTAAACTGTGTGCCAAAGATTTATCAGCCCTAATTCTCGTCAAGTCTTTACATTTTACAAATGGAGGCACTGTTGATTTGTAAATGGCCCATTACTATTTACAAAGCAAGTTCTTCAGGTCTGTTAATAGCATTTGATTCTTATTACAAGCCTATCAGGTAGATTGCTATGATTCAGCCCAATTTGTAGGTAAGGTAATGATGGTTCAGGGAACCTGACAGTTTTCCCATAGTCACACAGCTAGGAGTAGTAGTGCCCAACCTGACCCCAGTAACCAAATTTGTCTCCTGCATAGATGGACTCTTGCATTGAAGCCTTTGGTACTACCAAACAGAAGCGGGCCCTGAACTCCAGGAGAATGAACAGAGTTGGCAATGAATCTTTGAATCGTGCGGTAGCTAAAGCTGCAGAAAGTATTATTGATACAAAGGGTGTGACTGGTAAGCAGCTGGAACTTGGGGTTAGAATCTGCTCAGAGAGAGAGCTTTCTCTTCTCTTGAGATCTTTTACCCACCCAGTAGATGGAAAGGATGGGAATTAGGGCGGATTTTTTCCTGCCTTGCTGAGGGCCTTTGCAGAACCGACTCTGGAGGTAGTAAGAAACAGCTGACATCCCTGCTCTCAGTGAGCTCACAGTCAAGTAGACACAACTGGGCAGAGAATGGATATGTGCCCACCGTTCCTTGGTGCCAATGTTACAGCCTACAGGGCACGGAGGAGAGAGAAGGCTTCCAGTCTGAGTCACAGGGAGGTTTTAATCAACAAGGCTGGTGTGATGATGATGAACTGAGCCTCTGGAGACAGTGTTTCACTTTGGGGTCAGCGGATCTTTTTCTGCTCCTAAATTTTTTAGAAGCTTGACTATTTAATTGTGTCATCTGAAAATGTATTTGTTGTTCAAGTACATTATAAGAACATAAGAAAAAGTTTATATTAGAGAAGTTTTTCTGTTAAAACAGAATTTTAGTAATTTTTGGAAAGTCTTTCCAAATACCCTATGATAATGTAAATATTTTCCTGTTTTCTTTTAATAGTTTTACAATTTTATTTCTAAGTCTTAATGAATTTTTTTGGCCTATGGTACAGACCTAATTTTATGTTTTAGAGATGATTAGCTAGTTGTCCCCAGCTCCATCCTTTTCTTTGTAAAAGATAGTTTAAAAAGTCATGTTTAGCCCTGGCCAGTTTGGCTCAGCGGTTAGAGCGTTGGCCTGTGGTCTGGAGAGACCTGGGTTCGGTTCCTGCTAAGGGCATGTACCTTGGTTGCAGTTTGTCCCCTGCCCTGGTTGGGTCGTGTGGGTGGCGATCATTCGATGTGTCCCTTTCATGTCGATGTTTCTCTCTCTCTTTCTCTCTCCCACTCTATCTGAACAAAATATTGAAAAATGTCCTCGGGTGAGGATTAAAAAAAAAAAGAGTCATGTTTATCTTTTACCACATTCTTAGTTGTGTTTTGTCCCATTGTTTCATCAGGCTTTTTCTTGGTTATAGTGGCCTCATTATCCAATTTGTTGTCTGATAGGGCAGATTCATCCTCCTCCTGCCTCCTTATTTTTCACAAATGTCTTGGTTACTGTAGCATGCTTTTTCTTCCAGGTGATCTTAAAAATTATTTTGTTAAGTTCCCTCAAAATATAATTGAGATTAATATGGGGAGAATCAACATTTTTTTTTTAATCCTCACTCAACATTTTTTTATTTTTTGTTCAGATAGAGAAGGAGGGAGGGAGGGAGAGAGAGAGCGTGAAACATCGACGTGAAAGGGACACATTGAGTGGCTGCCACCCATACGACCCAACCAGGGCCGGGGACAAACTGCAGCTGAGGTACATGCCCTTAGTGGGAACCGAACCCGGGTCTCTCTGGACCACAGGCCAACACTTTAACCGCTGAGCCAAACCAGCCAGGGCACAATCAACATCTTTACAATATCATATTTTCTCATCCAGGAATATAGAAATATGTCTCTGTTCATTCAGAGACATACTTTAATGTCTAAGTAAATTTTTTTCTTTTATCCTCACCCGAGGACATTTTTCTGTTTTTTGCTCAGATAGAGTGGGAAGGAGAGAGAGGAAGAGAGAGAGAGAGAGAAACATTGACGTGAAAGGGACACATCAGGTGGTCACCTCCCGCCCAACCCCAACCAGGGCCAGGGACGAATCGCAACTGAGGTACATGCCCTTGACTGGAATCGAACCCTCAACTCATTGGTCCACAGGCTGACACTAACTGCTGAGCCAAACTGGCCAGGGCATATCAAAGTAAATTTTTGAATATTTTTTGTTTTGTTTACTCTCAGCTAAAATGGACATTTGTTTATTTATTTTTTTAATCCTCACCTGAGGATATTTTTTCTTTTGATTTTTAGAGAAAGTGGGAGGGAGGAAGGGGCGGGGAGAAAGAGAGAGAAACATCAAATGGTTGTCTCCCGCATGACCCTGACCTGGGCCGGGGATTAAACCTGCAACTGAGGTACGTGCTTTTGACCAGGAATTGAACCTGTGACTCTTAGGCCCACTGGCTGATGCTCTAACTGCTGAGCCAAACCAGCCAGGGCTTAAAGGACATTTAAAAAGAAAAATAATTCATCCATTTTCTTATCATTCCACCAGACGAACTGTTATAATTTTTCTGTTTTCTCTCTGTCTTTATCTATATGTATATTTAATTCTCACATGGTCATTCCTGTGTGGTATTTACAGTTTTATATTTTGATTTTTTTTTTTTTTTTAATAGTACGTAGAGAAATTTTCTGGAAGTTTAGCTGTTGAAAGCTATTTTGAATATCCCTCACTTTTAGTTTCTTGTGTTGTATTGTGAATAATTATTAGCACACTTCTCTCCTGACTATACTGCAAGTTACTTGAGGGGAGACCACATGGAAGCACCTTTTCTAGGGCCCAGTTCAGTTTGTGTCCTGAGTGGGCGTTGTAGTGCTGGAGCTATCAGCCCAGTGGGCAGGTTGGGCCTCATTGGTGGAAGCATTCAGATTCGGGGTTTCTGGGCTGGTTAGGATCTTGAGTGCACAGATTGCAAAGAGTGTTGGGGAACCTGAAACCGAACAGGGTGATATCCACACTGACTCTTTCTTTATTGGAAAGCTCTGGTCAATGATGCCCTCCATGATAACTTGCAAGAAGACTCCCTTTACCTTCCTCCCTGCCACGCTGATGCAGCCAAGCCTGAAGATGTGTATAAGTTTGAAGACCGTATCCTTTCTGCAGTAGAAATGTTACCTTACTTCACAAGTTGGGATGTGTGCATATGAGTGGCATAGCCAGGCTCTCTGAGGGGTCAGTGGTTCTGTGACTCACAGAAGCTACATCCTGACCTTTGTAGTTGCCCAGTGCTGTTGCTGGGAAGGTAGCTGGCCTTTCTCACTACTTGAGGGACCTGCTCCAGCACCAGTGTCTCAGCCTGTGGGATTCAAAGCCATTCCTCAGCAAAATGCCAAATGTCCACGGCTCAGCCCTGTCGGGGTCACTCTCTGTGAATAGTCCAAATATGACTAAGTTGGCCACTGCCCAAAGTTTAGGACAGACTGGTTTTGTAAAAGGAAGGGTTGGAATGTAAAATGTACCAACTTGTGGGTCTAATCAGATGGAAATAAAGAGAAGGCAGAAAAGCCCAGGTAGGGAATGAGGTCTGCGCTGGGAGTCGGAGAACTGAGTTCCTGAGCTCTGCCCTGAAGTGCGGTGTGGTCTTCCCCTCTGAGTCTCAGCTTTCCCGTCTCTAAATGAGGCCACTAGGAGATCTAGCTAGTTAGATGTTTCCACCTTGGTCACATTTTGTTCTTGACCAGTAACTAGTTCTTTCGCCTGCGGAGTATGAAGCTCTTCAGAGCCCATCTGAAGCTTTCAGGAATGTCACGTCAGAAGAAATACTGAAGATGATGGAAGAGAACAGGTACCCCGACTTGGGTGAATGGAGCGTCCGAGAGAGTAATATTGGGACACAGCAGTAGTCAGACATGAAGCAGACTTTTGAGGATCACTGTTCAGCATTTGAACATGAATGCGCCATTCATTTCATGGATGTTTGGGCTTCTAGATCTGTTGTTCCAAGGCTGTGGGTGGCACTCAAGGGAGAGAGTTGACTTCTGAGTACATGGAACCTGTGGCTGGGCAGAGGGTGGCGAGGCCTTGGAGTTGGTCTGGGAACTAGAAAAGGACTGGATCCTCCAGTGTTACGCTTGCTGCTGATTGTCACTGGGGAGCCCAAGTGCTGGCCTGAGAGTCGGTGCCAGCTGAGTATATGGTTTATCTGTGATGATGTGTTGGGAGAGCTTTTCTTTTAAAATATTGTATATTTAAAATATATATTATTCCCTCTTTTTTGGAGCTACTAAAACAGCATTTTTATGAAGGTGATGGGATTTTTTTGCTTTTGAGCTTTGTGCTTTTAATAATTTTATCTTGAAAAAGTAAAAAGCTTGTTAACTATATGTTGGTTCCCTGATTTTTCTTTGGAAATTTTACTGGTCATTGAAATCCAAGGCCTTGGCAAATACCTTTTTTTCTCCAAAGATCTATTTCTCAAAAAAACCTATTACTGATTTTCAGTTGTCTTTTTTTTTTTTTTTAATCCTCACCTGAGGACATTTTTCCATTTTTTGTACAGATAGAGTGGGAGGGAAAGAGAGGAAGAGACAGAGAGAGAGAAACATCGATGTGAAAGGGACACATCGAGTGGCTGCCACCCCACGACCAACCACGGCCGGGGACAAACTGCAACCGAAGTACGTGCCCTTAGCGGGAACCGAACCCGGGTCTCTCCGGACCGCAGGCCGATGCTCTAACCGCTGAGCCAAACCGGCCAGGGCTGATTTTCAGTTGTCTTAATGTGATTTTGGCCCAGGGGCAGTTGCAGGCATGAGCTCTGGGCTGGGAGCCTGGGGAACTGAGTGGAGCTCTGCGGAATATGCTGTGTGATCTTCCCCTCTCTGAGCCTCAGTTTTCCTATCTGTGAAATGAGGCAGCTGCAAGATGATTTTGAAGAGCATTTTTATGTCCTTGAGCCCAGGAGCCTGATAGTGATAGAACAGTACATTAATAATAATAATACATAACATTGATCGAGTTCTTACAGGTGTCAAGCACTGTTCTAAGTACTTTACTTTTTTCTATTTAATCCATAAAACATCCCCAAGAAGAGGATATTATCATCAGCCTCAATTTATAGGTAAAGATGATGTACAGAGCTATACAGAAAATTGCCCAAGCCACTAAACAGCAGAGGAAGTTCAAACCCAGGTAGTCTGACTTGAGAGCCTGTGCTTCAAACCACTTGTAGGTTTGGCCAACTGTGGCCCATGTGCTCAGTCTAGCCTGGTGCCTGTGGACCAAATTTAATAGGAACACAGCCGTGGCCATTCATTTTTGTATTTTTGATGGCTGCTTTTGCATTTCAGTGGCAGATTTGAGTAGTTGCAACAGGCACCATGTAGCCCCAAAGCCTAAGTATTTACTGTGCTATGCCTTACCTAGCCCCTGCACTAAACCGTGCTCCTGTCATAGAAGCAGTGGCGGATGGCCCTTCCTCAGCCATCAGGTGTGAGGGGTGCCTGCTGTTCTAATTGTGAGGGGTAAATGGCCCCTGACAGAGCTGGTCTTACCCTTACCCAACATATTTTTCCCTTTCCCTCCCTTGTTTTAGACACTGCTGCTTTGTCATAGAAGCGCTGAAGTCTTTGCCATCAAATGAGGAGAGCCGAGACCACCAGGCCCGATGTATATGGTTTCTGGACACACTCATCAAGTTTCGAGCACAGAAAGTGATTAAGCGGAAAAGTGAGTCCACAATAGACTTTTTAAAAATATATATATTTTTATTGAATTTTTAGAGAGTGATAGAAACATCGATGTGCGAGAGAAACATTGATTGGCAGCCTCCTGCACACCCCACACTGGGGATTGAGCCTGCAACCTGGGCATGTGCCCTGACCGGGAATCGAACCTGGGACCTCTCAGTCCCTGGAACAACACTCAGTCCACTGAACTACACCAGCTGGGTTGTGATAAGACATTTGATTCCAGTTATTTCCAGTCCATTATTTGCCTGTAATTCTTAGACAAGCTCTAATGAGAGAAGAAAGTGGGAATGTGTGGTCAGGGCTTTATTTTCAGCCATGTAATTGAGGTTCCTGTTGGTACTGCTGACACGCCTAGAGGACTCTCCACGCTCTTTCCTGGTCTGTACATGGGGACGGGTTGGATTAGGTCGTTGTTCAGAGCTAACAGCCAGTTCTGTTCTGCATTAGGCAATGTGTAGTATCCAAGTCAAATGAAAATTGTAAGGGTCTTAGACCAACATCAGCCATACAGGTAGGAAAGTTGGCCTTATGTAGGCTGGTGACTGACTGGTTTTTGTTGTGTTAGCGTATTTCTCACTGGGAGCAGAGAGAGCCACTTTCTGCTGTAACCCCAATGTCCGCTACAGCTAGGACCATGGCTGCTGCATCCGTCCAGCCAGAGTCTGGAAGGCAGCAGGAGGCAGCTGGGGCTTTAGGCATGTGTGTGCAGTTTTGTTACTGTGGTTGGGCATCCAAGAGTCTATATGCTTTTCATTACTTGCTTAATTCTTATCTTTATATTCTAATCTACCCTGCTTTCCTCTCCCTGGACTTTCTCCACAGTTCATTTTGCTTTTCTAACATTTTATGAATTCTGTGTCTTTAGGCCTTGTGAAGTCTATTTTTCTTTGTTACCCCATCACAAATGTCTCTCGGGTAGTTTCATTTGAAATGAGCATATTTTCACTGGAAAGTGGCCATTTTATTGTGTGGGCCCTGCTTCTCTTACCACATGGTTTTGTTCATAACACTGGCCCAACCGTTGGCTTCTTCTTCCAGCTCATGGGTGACATGTGGCCTAAGGATTTTGATAGAAAATGACCAAACTCAACTTTGTGTTGTAGGTGCCCTGGGGCCTGGAGTGCCACACATCATCAACACCAAACTGCTGAAGCACTTTACCTGCTTGACCTACAACAATGGCAGGTCAGGGGCATGGTTTCTTTGGCTCCTGCCTAGAAAGGAGAAATGTTGGGGAGGGTGGTGAGAGTGGGGAGTAGGAGCTTGGGTTGGAAGCCATGTCCACCAAGCTACTGTGCTAAAGAGAGCACCGCCATTTGGAGTGGTCCCGGGGTCAAGTAACTTAGGAAACAGTATATAGTATGTGCTTTCTCCCCCTTGGAGAAGTTCATTTCCCCTTGGGCTGTCCAGCAACAAAGATACTTCACTTGACACACTCCTTTTGAGGAAACCCCTCTTTTTTTTAATCCTCGCCTGAAGAGATTTTTATATATATATATATTTTTTTCCTGTTTATCTTCAGATAGAGTGGGAGGGAGAGAGAGGGAGAAAAAGGGGGAGAAAGAGAGAGAGAGAAACATTGATGTGAGAGGGACACACTAACTGGTTGGTGGCCTCCTGCACTACCAGGTCCCAGGATGAACCGCAACCAAGGTACGTGCCCTTGGCCAGAATCGAACCCGCAACTCATTGGTCCACAGGCCGACATGCTACTGCTAAGCCAAACCGGCCAGGGCTCGAGGAACCCTTAATGCCCCATAGAACTTGTGGTCTGTGAAAAAGCAGTGTTGCAGGAAAGGACAGGCCAGTGTGGTGATTTGGGGGAAGAATCCCCAAGGAATGACCCTGGGTTTCCTTCCTGCTCTTTGCTTGAATGTGTTTCTTGCTCTGAGTGTACTTGGAAGAATCATTGGCAACTGAGTGTGGAGTGACTGCTTTCCCGGCAGCCCTGCTGAGCAGGCAGGGACAGACACGAGGGTCCTCCCCAGTGTGGGGCTCTCACTGTACCTGGGGTAGTATGTGTGACCTTCTCTGCCCCCCATGGAGGGCGCACTAGGAATGGCTCTCTGTCCTCTGTGTGACGGCCTGGGCACCTTGAAAGACAAGGAGTCACTTGAATTCTTTTTCTTCTCCCCAAGATGGGAAGATATCGAGTACCTCTGGGAATAGATTTTGATGTTTTTTTTGTTTTAAATTTTTTTTTTCTTCTTTATTGATTTTTAGAGAGAGAAGAATGGAGAAGGGGAGAGAGAAACATCAATGAGGGAGAATATCAATTGGTCGCCTCCTGCATGCCCCCCACTGGGGATCGGGCCCACAACCTGGGCATGTGCCCTGACTTGGGAATCAAACCGGTGACCTCTTGGTGCATGGGTCGATGCTCAACCACTGAGCCATACCGGCCAGGCAGTTTGGATGTTTTTATTTTGCTTTTAGAGAAATCATCTTAGATTTTGTGTCTCCTTGCCACTGTTTTTGCAGTTTACACAACTTAATTTCCGATTCTATGAAGGCGAAGATCATCGCGTACGTGATCATACTCGCCTTGCACATAAACGACTTCCAGATTGACCTGACGGTGTTACAGAGGGACCTGAAGCTCAGTGAGAAAAGGTGAGCACACGCAATAAAAAACTCCCTGAGGTGCCTTGCTGTATTTCTAGCACTGCTGGAAAGCACGAGGCGCCATCTGGAGAACGGGATGTTTAGAGGGGAAAGACTTGGGACCAGAGGACAGATGTCAATGAGTGAGTGATTGAATGGCTAAGCAGCTGGACATTACGGACTGCCAGTTCTCTGTGCCAGGCACAGCATTAAATCTGGCAAAATATTTCAGTGATTTCCCTAAAAAAACAATGAAAGAATCTATAGTTCAGAGGTGATTGCCTTTCCCAAGGTTACACCACCAAGAAGGGAAATCCTTGAGCTTCAAACCTGAGCCTTCCTGTAGTGCACTCTGCCCCTGTGTAACCAGGCAGCCTCCAGTCACCAGATATCTTTCTCTCCGGAGAGAGATTCTGTGTGGTCCTGAGGGCTGGAACCCAGGGGTGGAAGTTACAAGAACCCCATTTCAGTTTAGCAAAAAGACCTTTCTCAGAGTCAGATGGAAGGGGCTGTAAGAGGGCAGGGCTGCTGCTTGGCAGGGATGGCACATTGGGCTTCTCCGACCGGACTGGGAGAGTTGGCAGAGGTGACCGTTCAGGCCCTTTCTAAAGGGGTTCAGACTGAATAGAGGGCAGAACTTCCCAGGTTCCTGAACGTTGATCCTCTTAGCGTTTTTTTGTCATTTAGAGGCATCTGACTTCCAGGGACCTGATGTTCAAGAGAGCCTGTGAAACACCTTTGCACTCTTGTGGCAGTCCAGAGAGGGGTTACTCCAAGGGCTGGGCACAAACAGCATTCTCACAGGCGGTGACATTGAAAATCAGAAGATACTTGGAGCCATTCTGACAAACTTCTAGCAAGTGTTCCATCCTGGTTATAGGAAGTGAACAAAGTTTATTAGTAGAATCTAGACAGATAACCTGGTTTGTAATCACCTATAAGGATATTTTCTAATGGCAACTCATTTAAATGAAATCGTCTGTCTGATGGCTCGGGGGGTAGGGGCAGGGATCTTGTCTGCCTCTCTCTCCTAGTGGCCATTTTGGGGATTCTGTCTTCATGACCTGGAGCATGAGTATGCCACTCCCATCTGCTACCCTTCTCTGGGCAGTGACACTGAGGAGATTCTCCACGTTTTGTGTTTGTTCCTCAGGATGATCGAGATAGCAAAAGCCATGAGGCTGAAGATCTCTAAGAGAAAGGTGTCTCTGGCAGCTGACAGGGAGGAGGAGCACAAACTGGGTACTCTGTGTATCCCGCTGCCCCCAGCCCAGACCTTGGACCGCCAGTCAAAGCGGAGGAGAATCACGTAGAGGTGTGCTTTCCGGACAGCAATGTGGCCACACCATAGCCACTACTTCTATTCATTTCCATTTCATTTTTTAAAAGAGAAGAAAAAGAAGCCTTGCTGTGGCATGGGTATGAAGCCACAAGCCAGTATCTCTGCTGTGCTTGTCTGAAGCAAAAATACAAAGTGACCGCCATATTGGACTTTGTCCCTTTCCTTTGGTGTTGCTGTGATTTTAAATGGCAGATGCTTCTCGTGTTGGTTCACATGTGGTGATGTGGGAGGTTGGGCCTGGGAGGCTGGAGCCAAAAGATTTCAAAGGCTGAACCCTGGGCCAGATCTAACAGATGAAGGTTAATTTAATATGAAGTGCCCTGCTTAGGTCTTGGGGGGCCAGTGGAGTCCATGGTGAGGATGAGCAGGGCTAGAAGAGGAGGCTTCAGGTCACCAGTGTGATGGGGTTGCCAAACAGGCTGATTGAGTTTGAGGCTGCTGTAACAGGCTGGGGCCCTTGCCTGAACAGGGAGGAAGTGATTATCCCAGTTGCTGTGTCTGGCTCAGGCCACGCAGAGGGTAGGGGTCAGCTCTGAAGCCACAGTTCTGAGGGGCATGAATTAGAGTTCAACACAGAAAACAAATTGTACTACATATCTTAAGGGGAAAGGAGTTTAATACATAGATAAAATGTAAAGTTGTTAAAGGGCTGGACGAGGGGGAATCAGGAGGTTGCCAGCAGAAGTGCTCAGTTCAAGAACACACTGCTGGATTGCCATCCAGGCACCAAGAAGCCACTTCTGCCCAGCTGCTTGAATTCGTGAAGCTGGTGACTCGACACTGAGTTCAACCACCCATGCTTTTAATACCCACATTTCCACCCCCTTGTCAGCACAACCAACTAAAAATTAAGAAGCTGGCTTCCATCTTGCTTCCTTCTGTGAGTGTGTATGTAGGAACCTAATTTGTACCTAGACTCCTAGCAGCAAGGGAATCTTGGAAATAGGTTTCAGCTCTCCAGCATCTAGTTACAGGAAGGCATACCCGAAGGAGATGGAAATGGATGCTGACTGCCAACAAACCTTACCTGCCATGGGGGAGATGGGGAAGTCACCGTCCTGAGGGGTGCTATGAAGAATGGGCATGTGACATGGGTACATGGCTCTCAGATCTTCAGGCTCTTCTGGGAGCACCTGAGGTTTGTGGTGCTCAGTGCTGGGGAGCAAGGAGCAGTGAAGGAAGATAGAATCATCTTTGAGAGTGAGAAAAGAAGGCTACGCAGCAGCTGGGCCATCCATCAGGGAAGACATGGTGGAAATGAGTCTTAGATGACTCACCTGGGACAGGTGGTCCTTGTATTTTTTCGAGCTCTGGAATGCTGTTATCAGAGCCACTTCTGGAGCTAGGCCCATGTCTACAGTGTGCCTTTTTCATGCTCTTCTCTGGTTTGTCTCATTCGTCTCTGATCCTGGGTAGTGGGCATGTAGCATACTTTGCCTTCAGCAGAGGTGCGAGCAGGAAATCTAAATGCCTTTTGTTTTTCCTTATCTAAGCTGTCATATCAAGTATGTGACTTCCATTCCTGATCTGTCTCTGGGAAAAGAACTAATGCGCTTATATGGTAGAAAGTGTTTTCATGAAGGGATTTTAGATTCTGATGGATTTGACACTGAATTCCCAGGAATGGTTGGATCAGAGCATGTGACCAGGCCTCTGAACAACCTCTGTCCTAGAGGAGAAGCAGCCTGTCTTCAGTCACGTGCACAGAGCAGTCGTATTGATAAAGAAGAGTCTAGGATGGGAAGTACTTGTCCTGGGTGACAACAGGTGTACCTCACTACATTCCCAGAGGTTGACCGAAAAGCACATTTTTGTACATCAAGAGGTTTGTGGGTCAAAAGGCTCAAGAGAGCCATTGTTTAACTTGAACCAAGTCCTGAAAGCAGCTAGCACAGTGCCTGACGCAGGTAGTGTATGCTGAATGAGTCACAGTACATGAACTGTGCCTTTTTTCCTTGGCAGGGCTAGTAGGTAAACAATTGTAGAATTGTGTGTGTGTGTGTGTGTGTGTGTGTGTGTGTGTGTGTGTGTGTATATATATATATATATATATATATATATATATAAAACTTTAAAAAACCATTTGTTGACTAATACATTCACAGTGGCTACCTTGATTTCACCAAGTTTTTTGCCATAAGGTCTCCTGCTGTCCTCTTTGAAGAAAGGGAGATTGTCGACTAGGATTTGGTACCCTTAATAAGATTTGTAGTTTGTGGAATAATCTTAATTTACAGGTGTTGGTTAACGGAAGATTTCCTGGAGCGAGGTCTTTGCCTGTGGCCCTGACCTATTGTACATTGTTAATGGGTGAGATCAAAGAAGCTATATTTAACACACTTGTAGAGAACCCCAACTTAGAAATTGCTAATTAGATAAAATTATTTAGTATCTTTTTAAAACTTTATTTTGATATGTCATATTTAGAAAATAGTTGCAAGAACAGTACAAAGAACTTCTGTGTATCTTTTACCCAGATTTCTCCAGTTATTGTGTTGTCCCATTTGTTATTTGCTTTATACATTATGTATTTCTTTTTGAACCTTTTGAGACTATTTGTCAAAGCACAAGTGAATAAGGACTTCCTCTTCCTTAACCACAGTACACTTATCAAAGCAGGAAAGAGCCCTGGCCGGTTTGGCTCAGCGGTTAGAGCGTCGGCCTGCGGTCCAGAGAGACCCGGGTTCGATTTCCGCTAAGGGCACGTACCTCGGTTGCAGTTTGTCCCCGGCCCTGGTTGGTCATGCGGGTGGCAGCTACTCGATGTGTCCCTTTCCCGTCGATGTTTCTCTCTCTCTCCCTCTCTCCCTCCCAGTCTATCTGAACAAAAAATGGAAAAATGTCCTCTGGTGAGGATTAAAAAAAACAAAAAAAAGGCAGGAAAGAGAACACTGGTACAGTACTGGTCTCTAGTTCATATTCCAGTTGTGCCAGTCACATCTCTTTGGTCTTGTTTAAACTGAAATGGTTCCACAGCCTTTGACTTTCTTTACCTTGACGATTTGAAGAGTAAAGCCAGTTATTTTGTAGCATGTCCCTCAATTTAGATTTGTGTGGTGTTTCATTATGATTAGATTCAGGATCTATGTTTTTGGCAGAATTATCACAGATATGCTGTGTCCCAGCTGCATCACAGTGAGGCACATGATGTTGGTCTGTCCTATTCTTACCAACATTAGCTTTTACTACTTTGTTAAGGTTGTGTTCTCTACTGTGAAGTTAATATTTTTCTTTTTGTAATTAATAATTTGTGGAGGTATTATTTTATTTTTTTATTTTTTATCCTCACCCGAGGATATTTTTCCATTTTTTGTACAGATAGAGTGGGAGGGAGAGAGAGAAACATCGACATGAAGGGACACATCGAGTGGCTGCCACCCGCACGACCAACAAGGGCCGGGGACAAACTGCAACCGAAGTACGTGCCCTTAGTGGGAACCGAACCTGGGTCTCTCCAGACCGCAGGCCAACGCTCTAACCGCTGAGCCAAACTGGCCAGGGCGTGGAGGTATTATTTTGAGACTCTCAATATCCTGTGCCTCATCCAACTTTCACCCATGAATTTTAGCCTTGATTGATGGTTCCTGCTGAATCAATGACCAAGATGGTTGAAAAATGGTTATTTTCTAACTCCATTATTTTTTAAAATAGGTTTTTATTGATTTTTTAGAGAAAGAGGAAAGGAGAGAGAGAAACATCGATATGAGAGATGATCGGCTGCCTCCTCCATGCCCCCTGTTGGGATAGAGCCTGAAACCTGGGCTGTGCCCTGACCGGGAATCGAACTGGAACCTCTCAGTCCATGGGACGATGCTCAATCCACTGAGCCATACTGGCCAGGCTCCATTCTTGTTTTACACATTTGTTATTGGCATTCTACTATGGGGGAGGAGGCGCCTTTTCTCTCCCATTAATTTTTTTTTTTTTATTGTTCATTTAGTTGTCAGTATGGACTCATAGATTTTTATTCCATGAACATTGTTACTATTATCATTTTTGATGCTCAGATTGAATCACATTTGGCAAATCAGTTCATTCAAGCTAGCTCCTGAATATCCATCATTTTAAGGGTGCTGCCTTACGTTCTGGCACAGGATATTCCCCATCTGTACTTTCCCTGCTTCAGTCCTGGAATCAGCTTTTTATGCAAAGAACCCAGACAGATGACATGAGTGATGGGCCAAAACCAAGAAGTGAAATACCATCTTACAATCAGACGGGATCTTTAGCTGCACTCAGGCAAGAAGTGGGTTCTGAGTAGGTGACAGTTGTGTTATGAGTAGCTCAGATGGCACCAGGAGGGCCGTGCTAGGCTTTACTTCATTTAAAAAGGATGCTATTGCCTGGCTGGTGTGGCTCAGTGGTTGAGTGTCATCCCATGCAGCAAGAGGTCAATTCCCAGTCAGGGCACATGCCCAGAGTGCAAGCTCAGTGCCCCAGTAGGGGGTGTGCAGGAGGCAGCTGATCGATGTTGGTGCTTCTCTCTCATTGATGTTCCTATCGCTCTAAAATATCAATGAAAACAACAAAGGAAGAAGAAAAAAAGGGTGCTATTCATGGTAGATGGCCATAACTACCCTGCAAAGTTCTGGACAGGAATGGGAAAAACTAACGTGTTGAGCATGCTCACATTGGGGGAGACCGCTCAGGGTTGGAACAAGCCCAGCAGGCCCTACGGGAGCCCACTGTGAGGAACCATTTGGAGAGGAGGCTTTCTCTCTGCTATGGAAGGAAGGAGAGGGAAGGTGGGCCCCGTGCTGCTGCTGAGGCACTAGGTTCACGTACTGTGCCAAGGTCCAACTGGCTTTTGGTCTGGCCATTCCTCTGGACACCAGGGCAGTGGCCTCAACAGGACTTGTTGGCCTGCATGATGAAGCTGTGTTGGTCTTTGTTGTGCTTATACTCTCCTGTCAGTAAGCATCCATGTTTGGGCCTGGCTGGCCAGCAGGGAAGACCAAGGCCACAGTAGAGGCTGCTTTGTGGAGGGAGAAGCTGAGACCTGTGAACTCTGTACCAGGGTTAAGCCTTCACCTGTCACAAGTCACCCTGGCGGGGGGGGGGGGGGGGTAGCTACTGTAGACTGTAAGCAAGTGGCCCTAAGGAAACAGAACCCTTGGAGAATCCTATCTTTAGATTTATAATCGCTACACAGAAGAGCTGGGACATACCTCCTAGATGCAGGACAGGACTCCTAAACTCTGTCTTTGGGCTTTCCCAAGGCCCATTCAGACCACTGAAGTGGGTGTAGAGAAATGACCAGGATTGTGAGGAGATGGTCTGCAAACTGGCACGTATAGAAGCCAGGAGCAGCATGGACCCCAGGGGAATAAGGATGCTATCTGCCAATCTCTGGAGAGTCATCACAAACAAAGGGAAGAGATGTCTCCAGAAACAGGGTTGGGTCTGTCCATCTATTCATGCATCAGTACTTAGTGAGTCTTTCTCTGTGCTATGCATAGAGAAATCAGACAAATCAACAGACTTCCAATACAGATTATTCAGTGTGACCATGGGGATAACAGGGGCAGGGGATACAAAAGCATGAAAGTGGGGCACTTAACAGATTTGAAGACATCAGGGAAGATGTTCCATGGAAGTGATGAAATAAGATCCTGAAGTATAGGTAGGATTTAACCAGGGAGATAGATTTTGGCTCAATTAAGGAAAACAATCATCAGAGTATATTCTTTTAGGCAGGTCTGGCCAGCTGTGTGGGAGAACAGGCCCTGTCCAATGAACCAATGAGGCTACTGCAGGGCATTCTCAACTTCCCAATTCCTCAACCACAGAAGAGCTGGGATGGGTGTTCTGTTCCTCTCACTACTGCCTCCCGGAGATAGACCTTGAGTGTGTCTGAGCTACCAAAACCCTAGGTAACACCTCTCCTACCTACAAGCTCTTTTTTTTAATCCTCACCTGAGTATATTTTCCCATTTATCTTCAGATAGAGTGGGAGGGATGGAGAGAGAAAGAGAGAAACATCAATGTGAGAGAGAGGCATCAATTGGCCACCTCCCACACAACCCTGACCAGGGACGGGGATCAAACTGCAACTGAGGCACATGCCCTTGACCGGAGTTGAACCCAAGACTCTCTGGTCCATGGGCCAGTGCTCTAACTGTTGAATCAAACCGGCCAGGGCATTAACATTTGATATAGTGAACTTTTTCCACCTGCTGGGCCTTAACAAGCATCACCACTTAGGGCCTGTTTTTTCTGTTAAAAATGGGGCAGTGACCTCACCAAGCTTGTGTTTAATATACTGTAGAATCTACAGTGTAGATGGAACATGATGATTTTAGTGACACAGGGATATGTCAAAACACAAGGTTATGCTAAAGTGCAGTAACAAATTTCCCCCAAATATATGGTTTCAATAAAGATTTGCTTGTGGTATTGTGAATATCTTGTTTGTTTTAGTGTGTGTTAGAAAAGCACTAGCTTTTCATTTATAATAGTGATATAAATATTTCTTTTTAGCTCAGCAAAGTGTCCTGGAGTGGAAAAGGGGCATTAGATAACTAAGAAAATCTGAATAAACCATGGACTCTGGTTAATAATGTATCAATACTGGTTCATTAATTTAGACAAATGTACCACACATGTAAGATGTTAGGGAAACTTGGGGAGGAACGTAATATGGGAACTCTGTACTACCTCTCTGCTTGCTTTTTCTGTAAATTTAAAACTCTTCTAAAAAGTCTATTTTTAAAAAGGACTTAAAGAAAAATATTAAGTACTAACTTGCTCCTCTGGTAACATGTGGATGTGGCAGAAACCAAGATGCTGAGTAATGGGAGTTGGGCAAACGTGTTCCTGGATCTGCGAACCCTCCGCAGACGGTCAGGTCCCCACACCAGGGGCTGCTCCCGCAGACCCTCACCAAGCCCACAGGGCCAGCAGGCAGGACTGCAACACTGCCCTGACCGGGAAACAGACCTGGGAACCTGGAATCGTGGAACAGCTGGACGGGTAAGGTGGGCCTGCGATCCTGTCTCCTTCAGAGGAAGCGGTGGTACCTTGGGAAGGTGAGCGGTGCAGGGCCCGCATCCAGCCGCCTGGGAACTCCAGTGTATATCCAACCAAGGAAAGTCCCCCAAAAGTGCCTCTTTTAAAATATAGAACTTTATTTTACTTGCTGAGATTTTTCATAAGCACTTGATTCACAGAGAAGTCATTTCTTACAAAATGATAAAGGCAGCATTTTATACAGCGACTCACATTGGGGCCACCAGAGAAGGTGCAAAGAACAGTGTGGGATGGGAGGGGCCAGCGCTCTTGTGCCCAAAGTCCTTAAGAAGCCAGTATTCCTGGCTCCCTGCAGCCCCCTCCCGCCTGACCTGGGAGAGCAGCACCAAGGGCCTGGCAGAACCAGCCTGGGAAGTCATCGGTGAGGTACAAGACAGCAACCCTGACGGGCTGGTGTAGGCCCCACATGAAAGGCCAAGTGGGAGGGGGCTGCTCAGGTAGAGGGGTCCTGCATCCAGCCCCCTTCCCTAAGCAGTCAGGGCAGGGTCTGAGCCCACCTGAAACCTTGACACACTCACACAGAACAGTTCAGTAAAGCCCTCTGGGACTGGCCTTCTCCCCACTCAGGCTACAGACCCTACAGGCCTGGGTACTGGGAACACAGAGAGAGGGGGCCCTACACAGGTCAGTGGGACGGGGATGGACCTGGATAACTCCAAGGCAGAAAGTGCTCAGTGCCTGAGGGGGCAGAGACGGGCAGGGCAGCTCAGAACAGGGAGGGCATTGTCATCTAGAGGGGGCATGCTCTGTGGAGATGGCAGTGTCTAAGCTACACTTGAATGGGTGGGACCCGGACATGTGCAGATGGAGAGAAGGGCATGCCAGGAAGAGGGGACAGCATGAGCCAAGGCACAGAGTGGAAACCATAAGGGTCAGTAAAGGCAGGTGCTTCTCCGAGAGGACATGGACAGATGAGGGCCCAGGCACCTGCACCTCCACCAGTCTGGTGCCCAGGAGGGGCAGCTGGTGTGGCTGTGCTTGTGGGATGTGACTCCTTGTGTGGTAGGCACCGAGCTAATGTCCTCCTGAGTTTGGGAGCTCCTTGAGGGTAGAGGGGAGTTGTATGTGTCCCTGCACTGCCCAGCTGGCACCCGAGGCACTGCAAGGAAGCCCTCCTGTTTTTGGCATGTCCTCTGTCATCTGTAGGTCAGCTTTTTAACAGGGGCTCCCTGTCCGAAGCCCCTTCTCCTCTCTTAGACCCATGTTTAAGTCTAAGACAACTATGTCCTTAAGGAAATCAAACGCAACTCCTCCAGCCCCTGCAGGCAGCTGGGAGGGTGTGGTGGTGTCCCCGGAGGGACTGAGAGGTCAAGGAAAGGGGAAAATTCTGGGGCAGCTGTCATTTCCCACCTCACTAGAATTACTTCCCTCGCTCGGGAGTAAATCTCTTCCCTGAGAAGAGCCTGGGTTTGGTGTGCGTACAACACAGTTTCCTGTAACTCAAACAGGAAACCTGACTGAAGCTTCAGTACTGATTTTCCTCAACTCTTCATAATCTCTACAGGAGCTGGAGTGCCTGGAAACTCACGAATGTCTGTTCCTTTTTCTCCTGAAAAACACTTCCAAGTGCCTTCCTACTGAGGGTTGAGCTGAAGGGTTCTTGGAAGTACCTTGTTCTCAGTCCCCAGGAGGCATGGTGAGGAGGGGACCGGCAGCCTCCTCAGGCACTGCTTCGTCCACCCCGAAGGCCGCACCTCTTAGCTCGGCTGGGCACTGTCAGGGCCTGAGCCTGAGAGCTGGGTATGCAGATGTTGCTCCCAGAGTCTTTGGACAGTGCTCCAGTTGCCCCGCCCTGTGGCTCTCCATCCTCACAGGATGGTGCAGAAGATGCTGCGGTTGCTATGGTACCCACCTTCCACACGGGCTGTGATCCTAGTTGCCAAGGCTGTCACCTTCTGCCCACTGTGGGCTGCAGAGGGGCCTCGGAGAGAGTTTTCAAGGTGAGGGCGTGCTGGTGGGTTCACCAGCCGCCATGTATCAGACCTGAAGATGCAAAATGATAATCAACAGACTCTAAGAGTGTCAGCATTTACGGAGTGCCCTGAAAATCTCACCTATGGCTCAAGCCATTGGATCCAGGTGTTTAAATCTGGGTGTAAGTTAGTGATTCCCAGGAGGGCAGACATGTGAAGCTACGGGGCAAAAGTGCTGCATTCTGGTTCCAGCTGTGCCTTCAATTCTGCATGAATTGGACAAGTTCCCTCTAGGAGCCCCAATGTCCCCTCTGTAAGGATCTGGAGAAGATCAGTGGCTTTCTTTTTTTCTCTTTCATTCTCCTTTCTCCCCAACCCAGCTGTATGACTGTGAAAATTTATAGCTTTATTCATAATCACCCCAAACTAGAAACTACAGCTGACGAATGTATAAACAGTGTGTGGTACACGCACACAACAGAATACCACCCAGCAACAAAAAGGAGGAACAACAGATGGGACACCATGGGCAAATCTCAAGGGCACTGGGCTGCATGAAAGAAGCCAGACTCCAAAGACTACATTCTGCCCTGGCCAGTGTGGCTCAGGTGAGTGTCATCCTGTGCACTGAGAGGCTGCTGGTTCAATTCCCCATCAGGGCACATGCCTGGGTTTCAGGGTCGACCCCTAGTAGGGGGCGTGCAGGAGATAGCCCATTGCTGTTTCTCTTTCCCTCTCCCTTCCTCTCTCTCTAAAATCAATAAAAACATATTTAAATCCTCACCTAAGGATACACTTTTATTATTTTTAGAGAAAGAGAGGAAGGGAGAGAGAGAGAAAAACATCAACCAGTTGCCTCCCATATGCACCATGACTAAACCTGCAACATAGGTTTGGGCCCTGACTGGGAACCAAACTTACAATCTTTTGCCCTGGCCGGTTTGGCTTAGTGGTTAGACTGTCGGCCTGAGGTCTGGAGAGACCCGGGTTCGGTTCCCGCTAAGGGCGCGTACCTCGGTGCAGTTTGTCCTCAGCCCTGGTTGGGTCGTGCGGGTGGCAGCCACAAGATGTGTCCCTTTCACATCGATGTTTCTCTCTCTCTCTCTCCTCCCAACTCTAGCTGAACAAAAAATGGAAAAATGTCCTCAGGTAAGGATAAAAATAAATACATAAAATGTTAAAAAAAAAATTTACAATCTTTTGGTGCCCAGGATGACATTCAACCAACTGAACCACCCAGCCAGGGCCTGTGTGATATTTTTTAGATGACATTCTGGAAAATGCAGATCTACAGGGGACAGAAGTTGGGGAAAATCAAACAATAGTGAAACTCTGCTCAGGGTTTTCTGTCACCTGAGTTACAAGGAACCACCTCTTCTATACAATGAACCTATATTGATTCAGCCAGCAATAGTGTCTTCTACATATATTTATGCTGATAATATCACAGTGAGCAGGCCCTAGCCAGCATGGCTCAGTTGGTTGGAGCGTCGCCCCATACACCAAAAAGGTGGCAGGTTTAATTCCCAGTCAGGGCACCATGCCCAGGCTGTGAGTTCAATCCCGAGTCGGGGCGTGAGTGGGAGGCAACTGATCGATGCTTCCCTCTCTCTCTCCTTTCCTCTCTCCAAAAAAAGATAGCAAGTAGGACTATAAATGTGTGGACAGAGTCAGATACTGGCTGCCATGGAGTGAGGAAAAGCTTTTGGAGGTGTGCGCAAAGCATTGCATGCCTTTGGGTTTGGCAGCAGAGAGAACTCCTGAAAAGGAGTGATGAAAAGAGGTCAGAAAGGAAAATCAGGACCCAACAGTGCACAGTGGACAATGCCAGGCTGACAGGTCTGGGCTGGGGTCTCCAAAGGGGAAAAAAGAAACGGATCCCAGAGAGTCCACAGTATGAGCGGCTGGGATATTCAAAGAAAATATCAAATTTTCTATTTATTTTATACTTTATAAGTTATGAATATGTAAACATATATATAAGAGGAGATTTCCTCAAAACATAGTTTTACTGAGAGGGTGTGTAATAAAAAAGAGATCATACATAGAAACAGGAGACCCATCAAAGGCTTCTGAGCATGGACATGACATGACCACAGCTGACAGAGAAAGATTCATCTGGCAGGATGCACAAGATAGCCTGCAAGGGGGTAAGCTAGTGGTGGGAGGAGCCTAAGGGTAGGGAGACCAGTTAGGAAGCTGCTGCAATAGGACAGGGGTATTAACAGAGCAGAAGTGATAACAACAACAATAACAGTAATAGTAATTTTTGTAACCAGTAGAGCAAAGCACCAACCAATCAGAACAGAGTCTATCTATTAACAACTGGAATAGCTGTACTGATAACAGGGGACACGGGTCATAGCGAGGGGTGCTGAGACCCAGAAAAGGGTGGTGGCAGTTGGAAAGAGGAGGTGCCAGATGTAAGAACATTTTACAATCAAGAAGATCTGGTAACTGACTGATCTTTGATGTCAGGGAGAAGGAGGAGGCAAAGGTTTTGCAGCCAGAACAGAGTGGACAGTGATGGCACTGAAATGGGGAACAGGAAGAGACAAAGAGGTTCAGGGAAGATGAGCGTGAAGCAATTGTGGTCCACTGAGGCAGAGGTACTAAAAAAAGTGACAACAGTGGCAGCTGTAATTAACATTTTTTATAAAACTGCAGATATTCTGTTAGGTCACATAATCGTATTTTGTCTTAAATTAGTGCTATAAAACAGATATTATTAATTGGATTTTTAATCCTCACCCAAGGATACGTTTATTAATTTTTTAGAGAGTGAAAAAGGAGAGAGAGAGAGAGAGAAACATCTATGTGAGACAGAAATATCCATCAGTTGCCTCCCATACATACCCCGACCAGGGATTGAACCCACAACCTAGGTATATGCCCTGATGGGGAATCAAACCCACGACCTTTTTGTTTTTTTGTGTGTACTGGACAACTCTCCAACCGAGCAACCCAGCCAGGGCTAACTGGATTTTACAAAGTCTCAGAGATGTTGAGTAACTTGCCCAAGGTCACCCAGCCAGTAAATGACAGAGCTGAGATTTGAAACCACATAGCTTTTGCTCTTAAAGCTTGCAGGTCCTCAGCCCAGGCCTGACACGAAGCACAAGCACAGGCCTTTATCTGCCCAGAGCCGAAAGCTGGCAGGACTGCAGGGAGCAAGGGCAGCCACAATCACTGGGCCAGGCTTCCCCAGGGACCTCACTGTGGTTCTAGAAAATTGGTTTAGGCACTTACTTTTTCTTGAAGACCAAGAACTTATTGTTTTGCATGATGCATTCTCGATTGTTTGAGATCTGCTGAAAGATGGTCTTGTTGGTCTTGCCCTGGAAGAAGATATTCTCCTGCACCAGAGCTTTGGTGCGGCCCCGCACTGCAATGCCATAGGCCCGAAACGAATGGATCCGGTTCTTTATTACCTGGAAGAGGCAGCCAAGTTATCACACATCAGGGGCTCCCAGTCTGGTAGGGAAGCCAGGTAAGTGATTTACCAGTTATAAAACTGAGGGGTAAGAGCATGCTAGGTCAGTAGGCAATAACCTCAGGGAAAGAACATCGAGACCAGCTGGGGGGAACCAGGGAAGGCTTCCTGGAGGAAGTGATGGGTAAGCTGTAGGAGTTCATCAGGTGTAGAGCAAGGGGGGGATGAGAAAGAATGTGCAAAGGCCTAGCAGAGAAGGGAGATGGTGCCTGATGCCAGAGCCACTACAACCCAACTGAGGCAACAGGGTGCCCTCCCCTTCCTCTGCTACCACAGTGCTCAGATGCAAAGCTAAGGACTCTTTACCCCTTGCCTAAGTCACTAATCATGAGGCCACAGAGCTGAAAAGAGGCTCTGGGAACGTAATTTTACATGGGCAGGTACTGGGTCAATTTGGCTCAGCATTGGAAGCCTAGCACCCAGAACAGTGCTTTGCGTAAAAGCAGCTCACAGCTCACTGTCCCACTGGGAGAAAAAAAGGCAAAGGAACATTTACAAAGCACCATGAGAAGTGCTCTGAGGTGGAGGTGGGCATAAGCACCTTAAGAGTCCAGAAAAGAGCCCTGGCCAGTTTGGCTCAGGGAGGGGACTGGGGTATCAGGTAAGTGGCCAAAAGAAGTGGCCAATGAGACTGGAGGGCTGAAGAAAACAATAGCCAAACTGTAGGACAGAGATAGAAGAGGGAGAAGTGTGTCTAGATATACAGGGAATAGTGTGTGCAAAGGCCCTGAGGCAAGGCTGCTCTCATTAAGCACCTACTGCATACCAGATCCCGTGTGAGATTATTCTGTTAGTAGAAGAAATCTAAATAGCCCTGACCTTGACCTGGAGACCACAAAGATACCCCTGGTGGCACCCCCACCCTGGTTTCCTGCTGGTAACTCTTATTCATCCTTCAGGTCCAGTTCATATGTCCCTTCCAGTGATGGCTGCTTCTTAGCAGAGGGGGCATGAGAGCTCTCCCAGGGCTGTGCCCGTGTTGGCACCACATGGCGCACACACACACACACACACACACACACACACACACACATATTCACCTTAGTGTCGGACCTGGGCAGCAGCTGCAGTCCGCTGCCCCTGTTGCCAATGATGTCGTTTTCAATGACGACAGTGCTGTCACCCTTGGTGATGATGCCATGGCCTCTGTTGTCATAGATACCATTGCCCCGGAGCTCCACCTTGCACTGGGCCTCCACTTTGACCCCACTCTGGCGGTTGCAGGAGATGCTGTTGTTAGTCACATGGGTGAGCTGGCTGCTCTGGGCCACAGTGATGCCTCTGTCCCCATTAGCGTGGATCACATTGGTGATGACGTGCAGCGCCTCACTGCTCTGGACATAGAGTCCTGAGGCTGCAGGTAGAGGGGGTGGGGAGCAGAGAAAGCACAGGCGGTCCCAGGGTCAGCCCTGACAACACCAGTCAGGAAAAGCTTTCCTGGAACTGTGCCCCCAGGAGAGAGGCGGGGAAGAAGAGATAGTAACACTCAGAACCAGCCCTTTGGAGCTGCATCTTCCAAACTGGACGACATACAGAGCAGGAGGAAACCTGGGAACATCAAGGAAGTTCTGTTCCTTCTGAACAAAGTCCTCATTAACTATAGCCAGGGAACTGGAAGATAAGATTCCTGACTCAGCTGGTCTGGCTCAGGCTCCTGTCCTGTGCTTTGCTTCCTACAGCACGGTCCTGCCGCTGCGTGTGCCTCCTGAGACCGGCGCTCACCGTCTGCTGCCATTCGACTGCAGACAGACCTACCTGCTGGCAAGCTGTTTTGTTTTTCTTCGCATACTGACCTGGGATCTGCCTCCCTGTTTGGAGACATGTCCTTTATATGGAAAATTCTATAATTTTTAATAGAACAAATTTAAAGCTAGGTAATATGTGTCTAGAATGAGTTAGAGCTTTTGGAAAGAAAATGCCATTTGGGTTTGTGTATGCTTAGAGACACTGTATGTTTGTAGAAAAAAAGCACAAAATCAGTGAGCTCAGAGCTGCCAACTTGGTCGAGAAGAGACAGCACGGCAGGTGGACATGGGGTGAGGATGACTCCTCAGTGGGGACATCACCTGCCCCTACAGTAAGAGGCACTGGGCAGTGCTGGGAGGAGTGTGTGAGGATGACAATGTGGACACATGGGAGCAGCCTGAGCCGTGAGCCTGCAAGTCCACATCTCTTGGCGGTAGCTGCCTGTTTTCCTGGCTTGGTTGAGAACAGCAAATATACTTTAAGTATTTGTGAATTTATGCAGCTTTTCCTGTCCTACTGGACAGATGGCCATAGATCTCTCTGACCTTTGCCACTCCCAGAGGGATGAGCTTACCAGGACCTGGTAAGCTCTTAACAAGCCTTCCTCCATTAGTCCCCAACACTGATTCTGATAATCAGCCCAGTTTAGGAGTCTTGGAGTTAGATGAACTCCACAATAAGTTTGTATTTTTCAATGGAATAAACATCAAATACCTACTATCATTTTTTTGTTAAGTGTAAGATAACATAGATTTAAAACACACTCTATACAGCTAAGAAAAATCACGGCCAATTAAACCATGACATGCCATCAATTCCAAGACGCATCTCATCAACAATGTTAAAACATGAAAAATGTATCTGACATTGCAAGGCCTAACCAGCAGAGTAGAGGAAGCTGAGGTCCGAATCAGTTAATTAGAAGAAAGGGTAGAAAAAAATCAACCAATCAGAAAACCAAAAGGAAAAAACAAAACAAAACAAAACAGGAAGATAGCTTAAGAGAACTGTAGGACAACTGAAAACGTAGTAACATTCGCATCACAGGAGTCCCCAAAGAGGAAGAAAATGGGCAAGGGTTTGAGAATATATTTGAAGAAATAGTGACAGAAAACTTTCCTAACTTGATGAAGGAAGAAGGCATTCAAGTTCAAGAAGCACAGAGAGCCCCAAGTAAGAACCCAAACAGGCCCACACCAAGACACAAGTAATTAAAATGCCAAAAATTAAAGACAAAGAGAGAATCCTAAAGGCAGCAAGAGATAAGCAACAGGTTACCTACAAAGGAAACCCCATGATGCTCTCAGCTGACTTCTCAACAGAAACACTGAGGCCAGAAGGGAGTGGCATGAAGTATTCAAGGTCATGAAAAACAAGGATCTGAATCCAAGACTACTCTATCCAGCAAGGCTATCATTCAAAATAGAAGGTCAAATAAAGAGCTTCCCAGACAAAAAAAGGCTAAGGGAATATATTAACACCAAACCAGCACTGCAAGATATGCTAAAAGGACTGCTGTAATTAGTGGAAGGAATAGGAAGAAAAATAGAACCACACTAAACAAAAATGGCAATAAATAAGTACATATCAAATATCACCTTAAATGTGAATGGTTTGAATGCTCTGATAAAAAGACACAGAGGAGCGGACTGGATAAGAAAGCATGACTCACATATGTGTTGTTGACAAGAGACCCACCTCACAACAAAGTGAAGGAATGGAAAAAAATCTTTCAAGCAAACCGAAAGGAAAAAAAAGCTGGGATAGCAGTACTCATATCTGATAAAGTAGATTTCAAAATGAAGACCATAGCCTTGGCCGGTTTGGTTAAGCGGTTAGAGCGTCGGCCTGCGGTCCAGAGAGACTCGGGTTCGGTTCCCGCTAAGGGCACGTACCTCGGTTGCAGTTTGTCCCTGGCCCTGGTTGGTCGTGCAAGTGGCAGCCACTCGATGTGTCCCTTTCACATCGATGTTTCTCTTTCTCTCTCTCTCCCTCTCTCTCCCTCCCACTCTATCTGAACAAAAAATGGAAAAATGTCCTCAGGTGAGGATTAAAAAAAAAAAAAAAAGACCATAACTAGAGACAAAGAAGGCCACTACATAATATTGAAAGGATCTGTCCAACAGGAAGATATAACCTTGGTAAACATATATGCACCTAATATAGGAGCACCAACATATATTAAAAATCTTCTGGAGGACTTCCAAGGAGAAATCAACAGCAATAAAATCATAGCAGGGGACTTCAACATCCCGCTGACATCACTGGATAGATCATCTAGACAAAAAGTTAACAAAGAAACACACACTCTAACTGAAGCCCTAGATCAAATGGATTTAATAGATATCTACAGAGAATTACACCCCAAAACTGCAGAATTCACATTCTTCTCAAGTGCACATGGGACATTCTCAAAGACAGACCACATGTTAGGGCACAAACTAAGTCTCTACAAGTTCAAGAAGATTGAAATCATATCAAGCATCTCCTCAGATCACAATGGTATGAAACTAGAAATCAACTGCAACAAGAACATGCAAAGACATTTGAAAACATGGAGGCTAAATAGCATGTTATTGAACAATGAATAGGTTACCATGGAGGTCAAGGAAGAAACCAAAAACTCCCTGGAAACCAATGAAAATGAACACACAACAACACAAAATCTATGGGATGCAGCGAAAGCAGTTCTGAGAGGAAAGTTCATAGCACTACAGGCCTACCTCAAGAAACAAGAACATTTTCTGACAGACTATCTAACCTCACAATTTAAAGAACTAGAAAGTAAACAGAAAGAAAATCCCAGCCCTGGCCAGTTTGGCTCAGTGGTTAGAGCGTCGGCCTGCGGTCCAGAGAGACCCAGTTTTGGTTCCCACTAAGGGCATGTACCTCGGTTGCAGTTTGTCCCCGGCCCAGGTTGGGTTGTGCGGGTGGCAGCCACTCGATGTGTCCCTTTCATGTCGATGTTTCTCTCTCTCTCTCTCTCTCTCTCTCTCTCTCTCTCTCCCACTCTATCTGAACAAAAAACAAAAAAATGTCCTCGGGTGAGGATAAAAAAATAAAAAGAAAACCCCAGAGCAAGTAGAAGGAAGGAAATAGTAAAGATCAGAGCAGAAATAAATGACATGGAGACCAAAAAAACAATTCAAAGGATCAATGAAACAAAGAGCTGGTTCTTTGAAAAGATAAACAAGATTGATGGACCCTTAGCTAGACTCACCAAGAAACAGAGAGAACCCAAATACACAAAATCAAAAATGAAAGAGGAGAAATAATAACTGACACCACAGAACTACAAAGGATCGTTAACAGATATCATGAACAATTATACGGCAACAATTTCGACAATCTAAGCGAAATGGACAAATTTCTAGAAACACATAGTCTCCCAAAACTGACCCGGGAAGAGATAGAAAACTTGAACAGACCAATAACAACAAAAGAAGTTGAAGATGTAATCAAGACTCTCCCAGCAAACAAAAGCCCAGGCTCGGATGGCTTCACGGGGGAATTTTACCAAACATCCAAGGAAGAACTAATACCCATTCTCCTCAAACTATTTCAAAAACTCAAGAAGAAGGCAGACTTCCAAACTTGTTTTATGAGGCCAGCATAATTCTAATTCCAAAACCAGAAAAAGACACTACAAAGAAAGAAAACTACAGGCCAATATCCCTGATGAACATAGATGCCAGAATCCTGAAGAAAATACTAGTAAATCGAATCCAGCAATACATAAAAAAAATTATTCACCATGACCAAGTAGGATTCATCCCAGGGATGCAAGGCTGGTACAATATTCGCAAATCAATAAGTGAGATACACCACATAAACAAAATGAAAGATAAAAATCATATGATCATATCAATAGACCCTGAAAAAGCATTTGACAAAATCCCACACCCATTTCCGATAAAAACGCTCAGCAATCTGGGAATAGAGGGATCATATCTTGATCATAATAAAGGCCATATATGAAAAATCTACAGCCAACATAGTCAATGGGCAGAAACTAAAAACATTTCCCTTAAGAACAGGAACAAGACAAGGATGCCCACTTTTGCCACTCTTATTTAACATAGTACTGGAAGTCTTAGCCACAGCGATCAGACAGGAAGAAAAAATAAAAGGGATCCAAATTGGAAAGGAGGAAGTGAAACTATCATTATTCGCAGATGACATGATACTATACGTAGAAACCCCAAAGACTCCATCAAAAATTTACTAGACTTAATAAATGAATTTGGCCAAGTAGCAGGATACAAAATTAACGTCAAGAAATCAATGGCATTCTTATACACCAATGATGAACTTACAGAAAGAGAAACTGAAAAAACAATCCTGTTTACCATCGCAACAAAAAAATTAAGATACCTAGGAATAAACAACCAAAGAAATAAAGGACCTATTTGCAGAAAACTAAAGGTCATTGAAAAAAGAAATAGAGGAAGATGTAAAAAAGTGGAAACACATACCTTGTTCATGGATTGGGAGAATTAACATCATTAAAATGTCCATACTACCCAAAGCAATCTATAGATTCAATGCAATCCCCATCAAAATACCAACAAACAAATACTTCAAAAGTTCATGTAGAACCAAAAAGACCCCGAATAGCCACACCAATCTTGAAAAAGAAGAACAAAGTTGGAGGGATCACATTACCAGATTTCAGATTATACTACAAAGCCACTGTAATCAAAACAGCCTGGTACTGGCACAAGAACAGGCATATAGACCAGTGGAACAGAACAGAGAACCCAGAAATGGACCCAAGACAATATGCTCAATTAATATTTGACAAAGGTGGCAGAGCATACAGTGGAGTAAAGACAGCCTCTTTAATAAATGGTGTTGAGAAAACTGGACAGCTACATGCAAAAAATGAAACTAGACCATCAACTTATACCGTACACAAGAATAAACTCAAAATGGATAAAAGACTTAAATGTGACTCATGAATCCATAAAAATCCTACAAGAAACTGTAGGCAACAAAATTTCAGACATCATACGCAGCAGAATTTTCACTGATACATCACCTAAGGCAACAGAAACAAAGGAGAAAATGAACACATGGGACTACATCAAACTCAAAAGCTTCTGCACAGCATAAGAAACAACCACCAAAATGGAAAGGCAACCCACTCTATGGGAGAGCATCTTTGCCAATGGTACATCAGATAAGGGGTTAATTTCTAATATATATAGAGTGTTCATACAGCTCAACGAAAAGAAGACACAGAACCCAATTAAAAAATGTGCAGAGGAACTAAATAGACACCTCTCCAAACAGGACATACAAATGGCTAGGAGACATATGAAGAAATGCTCAACATCACTAATCATCAGAGAGATGCAAATTAAAACAACAATGAGGTATCACCTCCCACCTGTCAGAATGGCCACCATCAACAAATCCTCAAACAAAAAGTGTTGGTGAGGGTGTGGAGAAAAGGGGACTCTAGTACACTGCTGGTGGGAATGCAGAATGGTACAGCCACTATGGAAAACAATATGGTGTTACCTCAAAAAATTAAAAATGGAACTGCCATTTGACCCAGTGATCCCACTTCTAGGAATATACCCTAAAAAGCTTGAAACACCAATCAGAAAGAATATATGTACCCCCATGTTCATAACAGCACTATTTACAGTAGCTAAGATCTGGAAACAGCCCAAATGTCCATCAGTAGACAAATGGATAAAAAAGCAGTGGTACATGTACACAATGGAGTACTATGCAGCTGTAAGAAAGAGAGATCTCTTATCCTTTGAGATGACATGGTGGGACCTGGAGAGTATTATCCTAAGCGAAACAAGCCAAGCAGAGAAAGACAAATAACACATAATCTCACTTATCTGTGGAATATAATGAACATAACAATCTGAGGAACGGGGTAGTCCCAGAGATGTGGAAGTGGGGTACAGACTGACAATCCCCAGAAGAGGGATTGGGGGTGGAGAGATAAACCACAGAACTTATATGCATGTGTGCATGAACAATGGACATGGACAACAAAGCTGGGGACAGGGCGGGGAGGGTGGTGGAGGAGGGTATCAGTGGGGGAAAAGGAGAAACATCTGTAACAAAAATAAATTAATTAATTAAATAAAAAAGAAAAAAAAGAAAAATGTGTCTCAGAATTGGTTAGAAATGTGTCTGCCAGGTGTGGAGTTCGCACTGCAGGGGCAGGGGGCACCAACATGAGCAGGATTCAGTTCACAGCCTCAAGTTCACAGCCTATCGGAGTTGATAAAAACAGCCACAGAAACAAATACAGTCCCAGGCCGACTGACAGGTGGCACTGGGGCTGGGGGAAGGCACAGTTCAGAGGAGGAAAGGAGGCAGGGCGCACTCACAGTGGCCCTGAGGTTCAGCTCTCTGGGCTGTGTGGATGAGAGAAAGGGCATTTTAAGCGAGAGAAATAGCATAAGCAAAGTCAGCGGTTAGTGGACAAGAATAGAGTCAAGTTCAGGGAACATGAAGTCCAGAGGACTGGGTTATCAGTAAGTGGCCAAAAGAAGTGGCCAGTGAGGCTGAAGGGCTGAAGGGCCAGTCTGCGAAGGGCCATTAATCCATTAATGCAGTGAGAGCACGGGGCTGAGGGCGAGGGGACACTTACCTCCATTGTGATTAATACTGTTAGACTCAACAAGGGCTATGGTGATAGGCTGGTGCAGCGCGTCGTCATCCTTCTCCAGCTCAGTCTCCCAGAGGATGGCGTCCCCATCCTCGCTGAAGTTCTCCTGGGCCCCATGGCCTCCAGGGAACTCCCCGGAGCCCTCCTTCTGGCTAAACACTGCCACTCCATACAGGCCATTGTAGCTGACGTGGTTGCTGGTGACATGGGGCAGGCTGGACGACATCATCCACACACCACAGCCCTTATTAGCTGGGACAGTGAAAACAGCTAGTCACTGACACTGAGCAAAGGGTGATGCAGCCTCCAGTGTCTCCCCAAGGGGAAGCAAAAAAGGCACTGGCCCAAGGGACAGAATCCCTGATTTGCTAAAGGCCTTGGACAAGTCACTTTATGGCTCTGGCTGCAGGCTTCTCCTTCATACAAGAGGGAAAATAATCAAATCCCAGCAATATTCCTTGGACATCTCTGCCACTACTTAATTTCAACAATAACTTCTTGTCCATAAATGTTTTTAACTCAGGAAAGTGAGCTTTGCTCATGGTGTCTAAGCGAGCTCAAAGATAGCTCCAAACGTACTCGTGGCCTCCCTTACGCTCCCCGCCTTTTGCTTTCTTAAATGGGGATAAAGCTCTGCTTTGCTGACCCCATAGGGTCAATCTGATTACATGGTGATTTACAAGAGACTCTTGCATTCTGAGAGGCTGTGTGACTGTGACCTAAGATCAGTGCTATTATAGAGATGAGATCTCTGAGGCCCAGGGAAAGGCTACGACAAAGGTGGGTCCTGGGCTTCCTGCCTTCCAGGCTGTGCTGGGCCCCAAACCCCTCCCCTGAAACACGCTCCTCACCATAGATGGTGTTTCCTTCTATCAGTCCTTTGCCTTCATCTCCCACGACCACACCGTCTGAATAGCCAAAGCAGATGAGGTTGCTCCTGAGCACGGGAACCCCTCCGCGGCGGATGTCCACACCTCCCCACTGGTTCTCACGGATAACATTTTCTATGGCGAGACACAAAAAAGAGGGTCAAGACGCAAGGGCCACCTGCAGTGCTGGCGGTGGGGACTTGGCTAGCTGAGAGGAAGGACACAGTCTGGACCAGGATGCCCAGGCCTTATCCTGTCAGTAGTCAGCACCCCAAACCTTGTTTAGCATTTCAGGGACTTGTTGGCTATGTGCTTCCCCCAAGGGCAAGGTTTGTCTGCCTTGTGCTCTCCTATATCCCCAGTTCCCACTGTCCCCAGTAGCCTTGGGGACTGATGACTAAGAATAAATGGGCATTAGAGCCCCTGGGCCAGGCCAGGCAGGGATATCTGTCTGGGGGCTGTTTCCTGAAGGGCTGAGGCAGAATCCAGCTATGCTCCCACAAGCCTGGGGAGGCGCAAGCCTGTCCCTCTCAGCCTCAGCTCTAGACTAACCACAGCCGTCCTCTCCTTCCCCTTCACCTCTCCAGGAGTGGACTGAAGAGTCACAGTCAGAAGGGTGGTCCTGGGACCATCTTCCCCAGCACTGTGGCAGGGTGGACACCAAGTCTCCTGGGACTAGCGTGGAATGGCTCCTGAGACCCTGTGTGACTAGCCCCCTCCTGTCTCTGTGACCCCATCTCAAACCCCTTGCCCATGGCTCATCACACTCCAGTCACACAAGTGATCTCCCTGCTCCTCAGGCATACCAGGTCTGTTCCCACAGGTGGCCCTGCATGGAATTCTGGCCCTTTTCCCAGACTCCTTCTTATTATTCAAGTTCTGGCTTACAAGCCGCCTTCTCAGGCCTGCTCTGACCACCCAATCTTCAATACCACAAAGTCCCTCCGTCACCTTATTCTAACTATCTGCAGAGCACTTATCCTCAGATAGGACTTTTCTTGCTTGTGTATGTATGCTTTTAATTATTTGTTTCCTCCTCCTAAAACGTCAGTTCCTGAAACGGGGATGGTGTCTGCTTTTGTTCACTGCTGTGTCCCCGGCTCCTGCATGCACCGTGTGCTCAGTAATGCCTGATGAAGGAAGGAAGGCTGGATTCTGTCAGTGGGATTCACTGGACCAGTATTTTCAGAATCCCTCTGATGCCCCAGGTATGGCTACAGTCTGTGCTGAGGTTACTCTGATGTACCAGACAGAACTTATAGAATTTACCACCTTACAGCAAAGGAGACTGACATTAAACAGATCATTAATAAATTAAGTAAAATGTCCTAGAAAGCAGGCCTCCTGGGTACAGTGAGTGTATACTGGGTACAGTATGTGTATAAAGGGAGATCTGGGCAGGCTTCCCTGAGGAAGTGACACTCAGGCTGAGACCTGAAGGATGGGCAGGAGTTGGCCAAGCAAAGGGGAAATGGAGATGGGTTTCCAGAGCAGGCAGAAGCCGGAAGAAAAGCCAAGAGGAGGGATTCAGACATTTTGCATGGCATAAATTTCCTGACAGTATTATGTCTGCTACTCAGTGAGATCCTGTGAGCACTGGACCTGGCAAAAAGCAGATACTCCCTCCCCGCCAGGCCACTGATTAGCACGGCCAGTGGGTGGGGCCAGCACCTCTGAGTGCTAGCCACTACTTGGCAGGAGGCCAGTCCGTCCAGGTGAAGGACTGGGGAGTGGAAAGAGTGAGGAGGAGCCCATTATATGACTGGTCAGGCTCCAGTGTCTCCACCCTACCTGTGATGAGGCCTTTGCCATTCTCATTCACGGCTATGCCAGCTGCACGGCCCTTGAAAATGTGGTTCCCACTAAAATGGAAAGAGAACAAGACAGGTGAGGCCAGACCAATGTCATGCATCAAAGACAATGCCAACTCAAGGTGACTGCCTTCTTTTGTGGGCTACCCCAGATGGCTCAAGTCCACAGAAGCATAAGTGCTTCCTGAAGTCCTGGAAGCCAGGCATTTACAATCTTCAGTTATTATTGACCAAAAACTAAGCCTACAGCTATGCCTAGAAGCACAAGGATAGCCAAGGCTCCGTGGCCTCTCCTGACTGGCATCCACATACAAAGAGCATTTTAAACGAGTTCATCATGGCAAACGGCTCCCAGGTGAAGTCTTAGCCATGTCAGAATTCTGAGGATGCTGTGTTAAACTTGTCTGGGAGTGGGTGTGTCCAGTCCCTGACTCAGACTCTCTGCCTATATTGAGCCTATAACTTTCTCTTCGTGTCCAACAGCTACACTTAATTTACTTTCTGTTAACTTAATCACATACCCTCTGAATGACAACACAAAATAATGACATGCTTTAAAAGAAGAAAACTAGATTTTAAAAAAGAGTTTCAAGCCCAGCTGGTGGGGCTCAGTGGTTGAGCATAGACTCACACACCAAGAAGTTGCTGGTTCGATCAGGGCACATGCCCAGGTTGTGGGCCAGATCCCCAGTGAGGGGCATGCAGGAGGCAGCCAATTGATGTTCTCGCTCATTGATGTTTCTATCTCTCTCTCTAAAAATCAATATAGAAAAAAATTTTTTTTACATAAAATAAAAAAGAGTTTCAAGAACATCAGACTGTATGCAGGTAAAGCCTCATGGGTTGGGTCAGCCACAAATGGAAGATACAGGAAAACACACTCCCGCTCAGAGAAACACACGCAGCCCTCACTGCCAAGTGAAGGCCTCACAAATGAGTCCCTCACAAAGAGACACCTGAGCATGTGAAGGGACACCCATTTCCCAGGTGACTGCACCTTGGTTTCCTGCCTATAAAAACAAAGCCAGTCACATCCAGATGTTAGCAGAATTAGGTTATCTCTGGAGGACATATTTGCCAGTTTTACTAACAGGAATGCTGTCATTTCCTTCCCTGTGGGAAGGATACCTGCCCGCTTTCTTAAGAGGTGACCCTCCTAACTTCCCACCAGGTAGCTGAGGGATGTAGCCCCAAATATCTGGCCTTTCAGAGCCTAGCTCCCCAGAGAACATCACTAAATAGGAGTTGGCTGATAAGTTTTCCCAACTCCTAGGGTAGGGTCAAAATTTTCCTTCCTTAGGGAAAAAACAGCAAATTATATTGATGCTGGGAAAGCCAGATGTCAGGTACTTCTACACTATGCATTATAAACAAGTTCAAATCACCTGTTAGAAACATCCCTATTTCTTCCCTCAGACAGACCTGAAGAGTCAATGGGCTGATGATTACTGTGGGTTTCTAGAATTCAGTGAGAGGCAGTCCCTGGCCTAGGGCCTCACACATATCTCTGAGAGCTATGCAAATGCATGACAGGTATATTTTTAATACAAATTTCACTCACCTCCAGAAAGGATCCATGGCCACATGAAGAAGCATGTATGTTTGTGTACATAGGGCGGGCAGAATAAAGATAAAAGTATCAGAAAACTTTTAGGAAAAGGGGACAGATCATTGTTCCAAGAACCAAGGGTGGGACATTGACTACAGATGAGCCCATTGGAGCCCTGTGCTTCCTTGCAGCCATGGCAACAGGACAGACACAATAGGTAATATAATTCTTACTGGCAAAAAAAAAAAAGGCTGCGTTTTGCCTTATCCAGGCTACTTCAGGGATCTCAAAATTCATTCTGCACCCTCCCATCCCCTGGATCCCTACCTTCTATGACAAAGAAACATAAAGAAAAAAAAAGGCACAAGTTAGTCTCTCAAAGCGACTATGTTTTAAAAACCTCAGACACTGATCTAATTATAATATTCCTTGCTCAAAGCCCTTCAACAATGTCCAGCACCCATAAGGCTACGTCCAAACTTCCTAGATTGGTGTATGGTTGCACATAACCACATAACTACAAACCCATTGGCCTAACACACCACAAACTTATTATCTTCCAGTTAGGAGGTCCAAAGTCCAAAATGAGTCATACGGGGTTAAACCAAGGTATCGGCAGACCTGTGTTCCTTCAGAAGGCTCTAGGAGGAGTCCATGATTGTCTTTCCAGCTTCTAGAGGCTGCCCATAGTTTCTGGCCTGTGTCCTCATCTCTCTGACTTCTGCTTCTGTTGTCACGTTTTGCTCTCTGACTCATTCTCCTGCTTCCCTCATCTGAGGACCCTTGTGATAACATTGGGCCCACCTGGATAAGCCAGGATGATCTCCCCACTCCAGTTTAAAGATTAAATCTTTAACTTAATCATATCTGCAATGTCTATTCTGCCATGTAAAGTTCCAAGGCTCAGGTCATGGATATATTTCGAGGGCCGTATTCTACCTGCCACACCTGTCGTTCAAGGCCCCCTGGGCTCTGGCATCAACCTGCCTTCGTGGGCTGACCTACTGCATTTACTCAATCCCCCGGGGCATATCACTTTTTTTTCCCACCATTTTCCCAGGACACACCCTGAATTTCACTCTCTCTTGGCCCACAGTGCCTTTTTCCTGGCCATAAAATCCTATTTATCCTTCAAGCTCAACTCAAATGTCAGCTCCCCATGTGCCTGCCCTGACTGGCACAGCTGAAACCATGGCCGGGTTCCTTTGGCACTATTCGAGCGCTTGTTTTGGTGAGTCTTCCCTCATGGTCCTTGGTGTGTGTGTCTATCTCCAGCATGAAATGGTAAACCCACAGAACAAAGTATATATATACTTTTCATATATACTTTTTATATCACTATCCCCTTGTACAGAGTAAACAGTTTAGTGTGTGTTATGTAAGTAACATGCATACCTACAAACACATAACTCTCATGGCAACAATGAAAAAAAGGAAAGGAGCTCTAGGACCATTGTTTTTAGAAAGGTGCCTATAACAGTAAAAAAAAATAAATGCTTCACAGGACTGGTTCAAAAATTATGGGATATCAAAACAATGGAATGCTCTGAAACTTTCCAAAGTGATTAAATATAAAGGCTATGCAACAATATGGAAAAGTACTCATGGAATAATGCAGGGGGGAAGAAAACCTCAGAATATGTTTGTTGCACATTAACGCCAGTTATTTTCCTAAAGCACAGACATACTTGTGCGAATCTTCTGCTCAAACCATTCAGTGATTCTCCATTATCCAGACAGAGAAAACTCCACCTTCCTCAGCTTGGTCTATGTAAATAAGACCTTCCTCATTTGGCCCAGGGCTTTCTGTCCATCACCTGTCTCCACATGCTGCCTGGCAGAGATGGACTGGCCCAGGGATATAAAGGTCATGCTGTAGTGACCATGGCACCCAAGATTTTCTGGGACAGTCCCAATTTAAAACATTTTATACTAATGTCACACCTGTGTCTGAGCTTCTCTTAAGCCACAGTGGACTGTTTGCTCACCCTAATCTGCTGTGCTCTACTGACTTTGCTCAGGTTGTTCCTTTACTAGAATGTCCACTTCCATCTCCATGACAATCCAAGTCCTACCCACATTTCAAAGTCCAGCTCCAGTGCCACCTTCTAAATGAGGCCTTTCCACACCTCCTCTCTCTGATAGCTGTGCCATCCATGTACCAGTCATGCATCTGTTGCTATGGCACAAATAGCAGAATGGTTCCCTTCCTCTCTTGATACCATTTGACAGCATTTATCACAGTCAGCCCCGTATGACAGCTGGGAGGGCAGATCCCTGGTCCCAGTGGAGCCACTGCCCCTTCCACCTGCAGCTCACACCGTGACAATCTCAGCATGCTTTCATGCTGAGGCCAGACATAGCCTCCGATCTTAACACAGCATCCCCGGTGGTCACTATCAACCTACCAGAGTTGAAATCTCGAGGGAACGTGTGTCTTCCTGACTAGAGTAAGCTACTAGGGAGCAGAGTTTGTCCCTTGTTTGCCTCTGTTATCATCGTTAGAAGTGCTCAGTAGTATTTGCTGAATAGAATGGCTACATGGGTAACTGGCAGGGAACACAGAAACACAAAAGTGGTTGTGCTACTGTGGGACTATGGGTGCAGTCTCTTCTGTGTTTGTGTCTGTGCAGATGTTTTAGCAAACAAAAATGTTTTTAAATGGAGCAAAGACAGGGAGTAGGGAAACAGATGTGAGAGGAAAGAAGGGCATTGGTGAGTAGGACGGTTTGGGTATAGTAGCGCATACCTCACGATTGGATTTCCGTGGTACAGGATATAAATGCCAGCCTCCTTATTTGAAAAGATTTGATTGTTCCGGATGATGCCTTTCCCATTGCCAAGGACGACAATGCCAGAGCGAAGGCCGTGGTGGATCTGGTTACACTGTATGTGAACACACAGAAGACAGTTCAGACATGCCAGCCAGAAGTGGAGTGCTCAACCGCTGCCCTACAGCAGGGCCAGGACGAATACAATGGAGAAAATGACGCCGCTGGAAGAGCCCTAGCACGCGACCAGGTGCACGGACCCTGCTGCTGTCCTGCACAGGTGCACACATGGGAACCTATCAGGGAGCATCTGTAGACTGCAGTCTTCACCACCCCGCCCCGTGGGGAGTAGTGATGCTGGCCCTACTGCTGAGGGCTTTGCTCTTCACTGGCAAGGCATGCTGCTGGAAATTTCAGAGCCTCCAAAGAGTCCCCCAGACACACAATCATCTGGCCGTGCCACATCACCCAGGGAGGGGGAGCCTACCTCTCGGGGAAGGGCAGCACCCTGGTACACGAGAATGTTGGCCAAGTGTAGTCCCAAGGGGCCACACCCAGGGAAGAGTGAGAGCCATTTGGCTTCTAGTCCTCAGGGGAGGGCTGTGGAAAGGTACGGCTCTGGGGAGCTTAGCTGTCCTATGGGACGTGATGTCATAGGTGTGGTAGCTACAAGGAACCTTAGAGACATTTGTTCTAATATCTCTGTACAAAAGCAAAGCAGGCCCAAGGTCTTATGTTTGTGACAAAGCCAAATTTGAAACCTAGTTTTTTGTTTCCTAGTTAGTTGCTTTCGCACAGTGACACAATTTTTAAATTATAATAAATTATAATAAATTGTTTCACTCTAATTGTTAATTTACAGTTCCAAATACAATCCCATACTTAAACCAGGAAGTTAGCTATTTCTCCTCCAAAATGATTTTACATAAAGTTCTGGTTTGCCTTAAAGTGTTCCATGCGGCAAACTCTCCCATTCTTTCTTCCCAGATTTTCTCCGACGGATTTGGCCGACTCACCAGGTCAACCACAGCCTAACAGAAGTCCCCCAGAGGGTTGAAAAGCTTTGAGAGAGAGGTGTATACAATGACATTTCCATCCACACCCTTTCACAAAGCCAGGGCTGATATGTAACACCCCCTTCCCACCTCCACCTCCTAACTGGCCCACTCCCTCCATCCCTGGGAAGGTAAACTCATCTCTCTGGCAACAGTGGCAATAATTCCCTAAGCCACAGTCACGCGTCAAACACTAGATGCACAGCAAAAACACAGTGAGAGGAAGAGGCTGAAAGAGGACACCGGCTAAGCATGTCTCTTTAAACACAGTTAGGACTTTCCTTTCACTGCACTTTCAAGGGCAATCTAGATACAATGGGTTGAGAACATCAATCCTGAGTCAGACTGCCCGGATTCCAATCCCAGCTCTGTCACCAGCTGTGTGATTTGGGGCAAGATCCTTAGCCTCTTTGCGTCTCAATGTCCCATCTATAAAATGGGGTAATAATTCTACCCCACAGGGTTGTGTTAGGATTAAACCATAATTAAACACATATATACAAAGTCCTTAGAATAATCTGGCATATAATAAGCACTGCACATAGGGTGGATATTTTTTCCCAGGTCCATAAAGAGTCTGTTACATTTCCCAATTTCCCAGAAACATCTCTCTGGGGGAAGACCAGGGCAGAAAAGGGGCTGGTCTCTCAAGTCACCGGCTTCTTGTGCTGGGATTTTAAGAGGCTTTCACACTGGTGCAAAATTAAACTCACAACACTATGAAACAAATTTTCAGAACTTCATATCCTTGTTCTAGTAAGGAATGAACTAATTTGGTATTTTATTTCCAATCCATGTGTCTTTTCGGGCAGACACTGTTATCTTTAATTCTTACCTAAGTCAAAGCCAACCAGAGCATATCAGGGCCCTATGAAATGTCCCTGTGATTGGTCCTCTTTCTTACTGACGGGGAGACTGAAGGAAAAAGAGCAGGAACCCCTTGCAAACAGAAAGCACTATAAACCCAAGATGGCAACACTGATTTCAATTCCTCAGAAAAGCCTCCTGAGCAGGGCGTGAGGACCGAGAGAAGTACCAGAATGAGCGGGTTGGACTTCTTCCGGATGTCCACGCCAGCCTCCGCGTTGTGGTAAATGTTGTTGCCAGCGATCAAGCCTCCGCCCTCCAAGCGAAGAAAGATGCCCGAGGCTCTGCAGCGGTGAATGTCATTCCTGAGCATGACAATCTAAGCGGGGGACAAAAAGCCATTTGTTTTCCTGTCACAAAGGTTTAAACAAAGTCACCCGGGGACACCCGAGTGTCGTCCTCAGTGTTGGCCTGTGCTGTCCGACCGGTAGGTGAGAGGAGTGCCTCGGTCAGCACGGCCACTCTCCAACGTGTGCTCACAGGGACAGGGGCCAGAGCCACCTCCGGGCCCTCCCTGGCTATGCCTTCTCCACCAATGCTGTACCGTCCTTGAATGAAACCTGAGCGAAGCGTGGCCCTGCGCTCCACATTCACAGCTTTTGAGCAGAACAACTGGCTGATGGGCTGAAAAAGACCCTGAGAGAAGATGGGATTCAGTGGTCTTCACACTTGACATGCACTGGGGTCACCCGAAGATGCCTCCAGAGGTCCAAGGGCACAGCTACTTTGAATTGAATCAAGTTCCAGACCTATCACTTCCTACCCACCTTCACAAAACTTCACCTGCCTGAGAAAGCACGAGAGCTTTCTCTTCTCCCACCTTCCTTCCATTCATGAGACAAAGGCCTATCCCTGCCCATTCTGAGTCTTTCTTGGTATGTTATTCTGGGGTGGAAAACCACCAGAACTCCCAACTAGGGGACAATGAGAAGTTTTGGCATAAGGAAGCCTCCTTTAAACAAGGTAGCACACAGCTTATTAAGGGGATGTATTGCCACTTACATTTTCTTTTTACATTTTATAATTATATTAAAAATCTAGAACAGCCTGGCTGGTGTTTGGCTCAGTGGTTGAGCATCAACCCATGCACCAAGAGTTTGCTGGTTCGATTCCTGGTCAGGGCACATGTCCAGGTTGTGGGCCCTGATCCCTGGGGGGGGGGGGGGGGGGGCGGGGCATTCAGAAATCGATGTTCTCTCTCATCGATGTTTCTCTCTCTCTCTCTCTCTCCCCCTCTCTCTTCCTCTCTCTCTAAAAATCAATAAAGAAAAAATCAATTAAAAAAAGAAAAACTTTCATCAACTGGGGGTGAGCTCTAGTTCCCCTAAATGCTTAACTTAAAAAAAGAAAAAGAAAAAATCTAGAACATATTTATGCTGTTTTAAACAACTGCGTATTGCCCTGGCCGGTTTGGCTCAGCAGTTAGAGCATCGGCCTGCGGTCCTGAGAGACCCGGGTTCGGTTCCCGCTAAGGGCATGTACCTCGGTTGCAGTTTGTCCCCGGTCCTGGTTGGGTCGTGTGGGTGGCAACCACTCGACGTGTCCCTTTCACGTCGATGTTTCCCTCTCTCTCTCTTCCTCTCTCCCCCTCCCACACTCTATCTGAACAAAAAATAGAAAAAAATGGCCCTGGCCGGTTTGGCTCAGCGGTTAGAGCGTCGGCCTGCGGTCCAGAGAGACCCGGGTTCGGTTCCCGCTAAGGGCATGTACTTCGGTTGCAGTTTGTCCCCGGCCCTGGTTGGTCGTGCGGGTGGCAGCCACTCGATGTGTCCCTTCACGTCTATGTTTCTCTCTCTCTCTCCCTCCTATTCTATCTGTACAAAAAATGGAAAAATATCCTCGGGTGAGGATTAAAAAAAAAAAAAATAGAAAAAATGTCCTCGGGTGAGGATAAAAAAAATAAATAAAAAAATAAACAACTGCGTATTAACAATAAAAGTATATGTTAGGATAAAATTGCAGGAGGGGTAAAGTAGAACGGAAGTACAAAATTTGGAGAAGATTTTAGCTTCTGCTTAGGATGGAGAGTGTTGGAAAGAACACTGCTCCCACAGTTGCAGGAAATAGATAATATAAAAAAACATAACCTTTCTTTTCTTTTTTAAATCCTCACCTGAGGATATTTTTCCATTTACCTTCAGATAGAGTGGGAGAGGGGCGGGGAGAGAGAAAAACATTGATATGAAGAGAGACACATCGACTGGTTGCCTCTCACACAACCCTGACTAGGGACGGGGACCGAACCGCAACCGAGGTACGTGCCCTTGACTGAAATTGAACTCAAGACTCTTTGGTTGTTGGGCTGACGCTCTAACTGCTAAGCCAAACTGGCCAAGGCAAAACATGACCTTTCTTGAACCCATCAGAAAGCTGAGGCTGCAGGACAACCAACTAGCCTGAACTCTAAGGAAATCAGGCACTTCCAGGGAGAGATGGGGCACTCGCTCGTCTGAACAGAAGCAGCAGCTGCCACAAGCTGGTAAGAAGAATTCAGTTAAAAGGTTTAATGCATTGTTAAAGGCCAAGTAGAACTAGTGTGAGTACAGAAACTCTGGGCAAGTATTCACCTCTCTGCGGCCCTCACTAGGAGCTCACAGAGAGACTGGAGACAGGACAGAGAGGGGACTGCGGCCCTCAGGGTGGAGGCCTGGGAGAAAGTACAGCAGCCACTGTGGGGAAAGCATTAAGCTCCTGGATCTTTCTCTCCTAACTTTCCCACAAAACAAACCTGTCACTGTCCAGGAAGGGAAGCAGAAAAACACCTTTCACCTTGGGGGGAGGTGGGAGAAAACCGTCTTTGAGGCAAGATCATTAGAGTCACCCTAGTGCTGGGGGTGATGCAGGACCACTGAAAAGGGCCTACTCCTGAGATTCTTGACCCATGGACATAACAGCTACCTAAGACCAGTGATGAACCCAGACGGGAGAGAAACCCCACCACCATGCCAGCAGCTCCGGTGTAGTGCCATGAAGAACTGCGGTCTCCTGCTGCAGGGCCAAGGGCATGGAGGGAGATCCTTTCTGAGGAGCAGGAGAAAAGGGAAGGCTAAGGAGGAGAAAGGCCCACTGGCAAACCAGCACAGGCGATGCTAGAGGAACGTGAGGCCTGCGGTGCTTGAAGGATTATCATAACCGCAACAAAATCTGAACCAGCTCCACGCCTGACTAGAACGACTCAAACCCTGGCCCCCTAATGGTCTTGCAAAAGGAGTATGCCATTTCCACACTTAAATACAATTTACCCCAGTCTCTACTGTCCTATATGAGATACCTGACTTTCAACTAAGAATTGTAAGATACACAAAGAAGAAAAACAAACAAACAAAACAGTCAGTGGTACTTTTCTTCATGGAGCTCCAAGGAACTGAGCTCCTTCAGGCATCCTTCATCCTCCTGGGATGTTCTACAGGGCAGACAGGGTGGCTGCCCTGGGGCCACTGGATCAAGGCCTTGCTCCTAGGCACAGGAACCAGGTCCATGAGCCCTGCACTCCTGCCCACAGCTTCCTGCTTGTATTAATGCCACTTAGCATGTAATTGTACTCATGCGACAGCATGGATTACTCTTTTAGTCAAAACCCCTGAATATCAGTTTTTCAGGTTATTGTCTCGAGACTCACTAGCTGCACAATTGATTCACTGGCTGCACAATTCCTGCCCAAAGTCCCAAGGACCACAGTTCAAGAGGGCTACAACTAAGCTGTATAGTGGTATAAAATGGGAAAAATAGTTTCTGCCCTCTCCAAATCAGATGATGAACATAAGGCAAGTATGATTTTTGAAAACTGCAAAATAGCCCCAACAGAGCCTTCCTGCAGATAGCCACAGAGGCTTCTCATCAACCACAAATCATGCTCCTGGTGACTCAGTGAGGCCACAGGGCTCTCTGAGTAAGTCTTATGATAGCACCTTGCTATTGTGTATACACCGTACTGCATAAGTCAGGTTCCGGAAAATGTTTCCTTCCATCTTGGCTCGGCCATAGGAGCAAACGAAGACACCTCCCTTCCCGTCCCGGAAGAGGCACTTGCGAATGAAGCAGCCCTGCACGGAGCTGGCCAATGCCATGGCCTCCTTGTCCTTCTGCAGCTCCTGCTGCAGTGAGTTCAGCACGAGGCAGCTGGGCAGCTGAATGGATGCTCCTGGCAGAGGTGGACCCAGGAACGAGCCCCCCAGGACAGGGCGTGGGCCCTGCACTTGGTAGGACAGTCTGTATGTGAGCTGGTCCTCATCCTCATCCTCACCACTGGGACTCAGACCTCCATCGCTGCTGTCTGGGGTCTGGGCCACCCTTTCCCCATCGCTGCCCACCTCTGTCTCCTGTGAGCCAGCCTTGGAGCCTGGCTTTGGGGAGCTAGAGACCGGGCTGGTAGGGCTCTGGCTGCCCTCAATAACAATGTCACAGGTCCTTGGGCTCCAGGCCTGGTCCCTGCTCTCCAAGTCCAGGGACATTAAAGAGTCAGAGTCCTCTGCAGGAAGCACACTGGGAGAGGATTTAATGAGCCCTAGTAGATACTTGTAGGCCCAGTTCTTGTCTGCAGAGGGGTGGCCCTCAACTGTCACAGAGTTGTTTTCGCTGCCCACAAATTCACAATTTTCCAGGACACACAGGGGCACATTGTGCAGGAAGACATGGGTGTTTTTGAAGGTGCAAAACTTCACTTGGCAGGTGCCTGGGCCATGGACCTGGATGTGCCCATTTTCAAAGTTGCAGTTGTCAAACTGGACATGACCTGATGTTGTCTGGGGAATAAAAAAGAGAAAGTGATGATAGCAGGGATAAGATCTGTTCAGCTAATCAGTACTCTAGCTGCTCTTGAAGGAGGGTGGAGCAGGGAGAGTCGTTTGCCCTGCTGATCATGTCCCCTTCCCCACAAGGGCATGTGTCAGCTGGTCCCAAGAGGAACTTGGGAGCTGCTCTGCATCAAAGGGAAGATAATTTGGAGTTGCCTGCCCTTCCCTCCTTCCAATCCCAAAGGGATAGGGCCAACAGTGGAAATGGATAATGGCATAATAGTTTACACTGTAGCAAGGTTCTTCCCCAAAACCTCAGATCTCAAGTAAATTCTCCTAATGCTTAGTGAGGATAAAACATTGGGGGAAGAAAATGAGAAAGGCAAAGAAACATAAAGATCAGGGGGAATACTAGGTGAAATGGCATTAGCAAATGTTAACAGAGGGGTGAACTAGAGACAGTCTCTCTAGGGATGATGAGAAATGATTGGGAGGGCTTTGAATTTTTACAAACATAGAAAATAGCTGGAATGTGAGTCCAAATTTACCAAGACCTCTGAGGTGAAGGGGTCCCAGCTCCAAGTCTGGGTTTTAGAAATAATGTGTCAAATTGTGTGGCATTCCTCTAGGTCTCACCTTTTTAAGTACTTTCCCTTCATTTTCACCTACCCTCGGTCCTGCAGGCTTGTGCCCTCCCCAAGCCTGCTGTCCTGCAGCACACCACAGGGCACCAGCTTGGTTCCCAAGCTCAGAGCCAGGCAGAAGCCTGTGGACTGACAGAGGGCAGGGCAGGGCAGGCCAGGAGGGGCTGCGTCCTACCTGGGTTGAGACAGCAGTGGGGAGGCACCGCCACAGGGGCTGGGAAAGAGTCTAGTCTGTGCGGTAACTGATGCCTATCAGACATAGCAGAAGAGAGCAGGTCTGGAAGAGGCAGACCGGTTTGCCATGGCCAGGCAATGCTGAGCAGAGGTCAAGAGCATGGGCTCTGGAGTCTGACTAAATGGGACAGCTCTCAGCTCTGCTTCTTTCAAGTGTGTTACCTCGGACAAATGACTTCACCTCTCTAAGCCTCAATTTCTTTGTCTGCAACATGGGGCTTACTAGTTAACAAAACATAAGGTATAGAGCCAGGCATAAGGGTGGCTGTTACCTCCTAGAGTCAGGTATGCTAATTGCAGACTCCTTTGGGGTGGGACCCCGCAGCACAACCCACCTGAGCCCCTTAGCTCCCAGGGCCTCACTGAGAAGCCCAGCTGCTCTAATTCCTGACAAAGAACTATTTCTGGATTTTGCAGCAATTCCATCAGGTGGATATGAAGCATAAAATGAGGGAGTGTTTCATGATCCCACAGAGTAATCCAGACACATCCATCCCTTGAACAATTCTTATATTCTATAGCAGTGACCTTCCTTGAGAGCTTGTCCCAGAATTTAACTCCCCTTAACCACTCAGCTCTTCCCTATGCCTGACCTAATTTTTTCTTGCTGTAATGTAAGTCTATTTTCGCTTACTTGGTCCTGTCTGTAAACACCAGCTCTCTGGAGTGCAGAGTCACTGCTAAGGTTCTCCTTAGAAGTCACTGAAAACTGCTGTAAAATTACCCTGGCCTAACTCCGTTTTTAGTGAAGACAATCATGGACTGAACATTAATATATGCCAAGCACCAAGACAGATGGTGGGCTGGGCTACAAAGAAGTGTAAGGCTAGGCCCTGTATGGCTAAAATGAACATATAACTCTAAGAATAAATGTATGAAATGTGGTCCGACTGGTGTGGCTCATTGGTTGAGCATCGACCCATGCACCAAGGTATCGCTGGTTTGATTTCAGGTCAGGGCACATACCCAGGTCGTGGGTCCAATCCCCAGTGGGGGGCATGCAGGAGGCACCCAATCGATGTTCTCTCTCATTGATGTTTCTGTCTCTCTCTCCCTTTCCCTCCCTTCCTCTCTAGAATCAATAAAGAAAAAACAATGTACGAAATGTGAAGGTCTGGAGACCAACTCTTCTTCTTGGTCTGCAGACCAGCAAAGGAGGAGCTCATCAGTTCTTCTGAAACATTCTAGGACTAAAAAGCAGGAAATTCAGCACAATATAATTTCAAAAGTGCTTAGAATCAGAAAGCCTGGACTTGAGTTCTAACCTCACTAATTATCCACTTGAGAAAGTGACTTAGCATCTCTGAGCTTCAGTGCCCCTCATCTGCAAACAGGGATACCACATCTACTCAGTCTACCACAGATGAGTGTTTTGGGGACCAAATGAGGCCACAGATGAAAAGTCACCTAGATTATGAACATAGACTCTGAATCCTAGCTCTGTCCCTTAATAAATCTGGGACCTGGGTATGTCACTTTATCTTATTGAGCCTCTGTTTGCTCATCTATAAACCAGATGACACAACCTATCTTAATAATGGCTGTAAAACATATGCCTGTCACACAGTTAGTGCATCATAAATGCTGGTATGATGATCATTACAAACCTGAGAGACAATTTAGTTGTTACTGGTAGTAAAGTGGCAATATAATTTTTATTGACTAGGTACATAATCCAAGTACAGCAATTAGTGTCTAGGTAATATAAAAGCTGCAGATTGCTCTCCCTGGAGCTACCAACACCTTGATACATGTTTTGCTGGGAACACAACTTCTGCTCTGTGTTCCTGGAAGGAATGTGTTGAAATTTATATTTCCTGACCTTCTCTCCAGGTACATTTGGTAAAAAATATGATCTTCCTGAACCCTCCACAGGGTGAGGCTGATGCACTGAAGGTCGCTGGCCTCCCCTCTGGCTCTCTCTTGGGGCATGCTGCCATAATTGTTCTCTGCTTTCTGTCAGCATGCGGCACACTCTAGGAACCTGGGTTTCCTACCTAGTTGCTCCACCTGTGGCTCCAGTTGACCCAGTTTGGAAGGGAAGAAATACAAAACAATTTGGCCTCAAGTCCAAGGCTCATTTCTTAATACAGCTTTGCCAGGAGTAAAGCAGAATGTTAATCTCTACTGATCCTTGTGCCTATTTCTCAACTGGTGCAGAACTCAGAAGAGTGTGTTGGAGCAATAATAATTAAACCCTCAGTTCCAACAACAAAAAAGGGGGCTACAAATCCACTGAGAAGAGGCCAAGGCCTGGGGTCAGGGCTGGGGACATCTATCTGATGTGGGTACTCACCTTGAACATGAAGGGTGAGAACCAGGCCGGCATGAAGACGAGGTTGCACAGACGTGTGGTTGAGCAGTGCTGATCAATGCTGGCTAGTAGGGCCACTTCACCTAACTTCCCATGGCCTACAATCTCCACAGGTACCTTCAGGATGATTTCACCTTGCTCTTCGTACACACCTGGGAACAGTACAATTCGGTCATATAGGCTGGCCATGGCCAAGGCACTGCCCAGGCTGTCAAACTCATGGCCTGGCCCAACACTCAGGATACGGCGTTCCCTTCTCCGGCGAAATAAAGAAAAGCAGACAGAGGACTCCAAGTCCAGGGCATTCTTGGTCCACGTCTTGGAGGCAAGGTAATGCTGCTTGAAGGCCTCCCTCCAGGACTCAGGCTCCACGTCAGGCTGGTTGGGCCAGTTAGGGTGGCGGCACTCGGTGCAGCCCAGACATAGCTGCCGCCAGCGGGTGCTGTCAAGACTGAGGATCAGTTCGTACCAGGCCCTGCACACTAGGCAGCAGCGGCCCAGGTCTGGAAGGTGCAGATAGGCTAAGATCATGCGCCACAGCTCCAGGGGGAGCCCGCCAGCCTCCATGGTCACCTAGGAGACAAACACAGAACAAAAGAGGCTTTTGTTGACCCTGCTTACAATCCCCTTTCTTAAAATACCCCTGCCTTCTCCTGAGCCTAAGGGTGAGCAAGGGAACAAGGCCCAGCCAATCATAGGACTCCATCCTCTCAATCGGAATACTTCTCTGGGATTTTTCTACCTGGAATTAGCAGGGAAGACTCTCTGTATGGGTATGACCCAGAACTGCTGGCAGCCACATTCCCCACCTTGCAGAGAAAAACTTGTGGTACCAGAGCTAAGCAGAAATAAGATACAAATTGAAAAGGTGGGGGAAGAGCCCTCCTGGTGTGGCTCAGTGGACTGAGCATTGTCCCACAGACTGAGAGGTCCTGGTTCGATTCCCGGTCAGGGCACATGCCCAGGTTTTGAGCTAGATCCCCAGTGGAGGGCATGCAGGAGGCAGCCCATTGATGTTTCTCTCTCACATTGATATTTCTCTCTCTCCCTTCCTCTCTTAAAAAAAAAAAAATCAGTAACAACAATAAAAAAGAAAAGGGAGGCGGTGAGCACATGTGCATGTGTCCTGGTGGTACAGATTCCAGATTCCTGCAGATGCCCTGGAATCTTCCGTTCTTCCTTCAGTTCTTTGAGGAACCTCAATGACCTTCTAATAAATGCCCTTCGTGCCTAACCTGGTTTGATCTGGGTTTCTGTAACTGGTAACTAAGAGTGTGGACTAATACTGAGGGAACCTACCTTTGGCTGTTACAGCCCCAGAACTGTGGATCCCTGGACTCCCCAGGAAGGGACCTCTATTTCTTCACACCAGGAGGAATGAGAACTGAGGCAGTGAGCGTCCATTTGTCTGTCTCTCCTCGTAACCAGATCAAATAATTACTACTGTTTTCCCATGTGAGGCAGCCTCAGGAAAGGCTGCTGCTGGGTCAGAGGCTGTGGGTCTTGGTCCTGGCTCTGCCACTGGTAACATATTGAGGGAGCCCTAGTGTCCTAACCATCTACTGGGCTGGCTGCCCAGCCATCTGCCCCCTTGCTTTTTTTCTGGAAAATATCCTCCCTTCCTCCAGCAACTTATACCCCATGGATAGAGGTAGGGCCCCCACAGCTGTGTGTATACAACAATGCTACCCCAGCCCAAGAAGCTGGTCTAAATGAGAGAAGAATGAATCAGGGACAGAAAAAAAGCAGAGAACGAGAAGAAACAAGGGGCATCCCAGTTTCTCTGCAGCACTCTAGGTCAGGTTCCAGGCCAGTTTCAAAGCTCAGCTTTATCCTTACCTTTTGAATTCCATCAGCTATCTCTGTAATGTTATAATAAAGTCTCCTTTTTGCTTAAGCTGGCTTCACTGAATTTCTTTTGTTTATCATCATACTTGCCAGCTATCTAAGCTCCAAGAAGGCTAGACGCACAATGTATGATTATGTCTGGAAGAAATTTTGAGCTTCCTCAAGACAAGTGTGGCTGTAATGCTACAGAGTAGTACTGGAGCTTACGTATGTAAGTTTTTCTCTAATGATCACCCAGTGAAACTTTACAAAGTCCTCAGGGGCACTGGAGAGAAGCTGGTCTCTGGACTGGTAAGCCTCACAAACACAGAGAAAATAGGCTCCTGACAGCTGTCACTCTCCCAGACGAATGCCATTTATTCAAGGTGGTTTCTGTGACAGTGAGGTCTCCTGCTCCGCACCTACTTCTCTAGCTTTTTCTGTTCAGGCTTTTTAAGAGAAAAATGTTCTTCCACTTCTTCTCTAACCATTCTGTAGCTAAGTGATCACATTCATTTCTTTGGCTTCAACTACCACTAAATTCATGCCTATAAAATCTGAATCTCCAGCCGGACTCTCTCTTTCAGGCTCTGTTGGGTAATTCTACTTGGATGTTGCACAGATACTAAAAACTCAGCAGCGTATCCAAAATTGAACTTCCACTTCCGGCCTTAACAGAATAAATGGAACTGGATGCATCCTTCTGTCATAAGCAACTACAAAGCTGAACAAACTATATGAGGCGACTGAATATATGCTTTCAGGCACTGAACAGCCCACTGCACAGGACTGTGATCTTCAAGAGAAGGGAAACATAGGGGGTGAGTGCATGACTGCCCCAGCTTGCATCCTGAGGCATCTCCTTAGTGTGGTGAAGGGAGATGGAGCCCAGGCAGAGTGGTAGCTCTGAGTTCTGCGCTGCTGAAGCAGCTGGAATCTCTGAGGCAGGGTGCCGGAATGGAGTGAGCAGCACAGAGTGGGCGGGCAGTTTCTTGGCTGAAAGCTGGACTGCACTTGCACAGGGCAAGACATCATAAGGCCTAGTAGAGAGAGCCTGCTGTGGGGTAAACGGTGATACCAGAGATCACACAGAGCTGGGAGACAATGGAATTCTAGCCCAGCATATGGACCGTTCATTCGAAGACTCAGAAAGGATATGCTCTAGGAATAAATTCAAATCAGAAGAATAAAAGCAAGCCTGATGGGATCAAAGGGTTCCACCAGTATCTTAACTACTTGCTAGAATAAAACTTAAAAAAAGAAAAGACAACATAATCTAGGCTCCCTCAACATGTCAGCCACAAGATACTGTGATATTGGCATAAGAAAAATAGAGTCCAGACCCCCTCTGAGCTCAGATGAGGATTTCCTTTGATTCAAATGTCACATTCCCTATGGTTCCAGTTGGCTTTATTTACTATACCTTTACACTAATCCATGGGGATCCATGTAGCAACAGGGATTTCTATAACCAAGTAACACTTTAAAAAAATGTCTTCAAGTTTTGTCCTTTCTTTTTGCCAATGGGGCCTCTGAGCTATGGAATTAAAAGTAATGAGTGTCCCCAGGGCCTGTGCACCTGGCATGGGATGCCTGCAAAGAGCTGGAGAAACAACAGTGGGCACTTGCTTGGGACGGGAGAAAGCATGTTCTGAGGTAGGCTTTAGCTGCTTCTTTTTTTAAATCCTCACCCAAGGATATTTTTCTGTTTATCATCAGATAGAGTGGAAGGGAGTGAGAGAGAGAAACATTGATATGAGAGATACACATCCACTGACTGCTTCTTACATGACCCGACCAAGGCCGAGATGAACCACATCTGAGATACGTACCCTTGACCGGAAACAAACCCACAACTCATTGGTCTGAGGGCTGACGCTCTCTCTAACTGCTGAGCCAAACTGGCCAGGGCCCTAAGCGGTTTCTTTATTTATGTGTTTCAAGGGTGTGACAACTCAGAGTTTCTGCGTGGCACCTCCTAACAGCCCACTGGAAGTATCTGCATGCCTACAGGCTACCTAGTGTCTCCAGCCGCAGTGGGAGAGGCAGAGGCCACCCTCTTGGGAGTTGAGTCCCCTAAGATTTGGCTCTCAACAAGCAGGCTCTATTGTGCTCCAGCCCTGTGACTTCAGGCAACCCCTTTAACCTCTCTGAGCCAATTTCCTCATCTGTAAACAGGCTAATGACAGCTGTCCTGGTATATACCTCATGAGGATTTTGAGAATTTCCAAAGAAAAAATCATTTATTCAACAAATATTTGTTGACTGTCGATTATTATGCTAGGCACTGTTCCAAGTACTGACAAGCAGTAAACAAGACAAAGCCCCTACCTTCAAAAGCAGACAATGAATTTTAAACATAACATAAATGCTACGAAGAGAAATAACACAGGCTAAGGGGTGTGCGTCTGTGTGCCTGTGTGCATGCGCACATGTGCTATTTTAGATAGGGTTGTTAAGGAAGGTCTCTAAGGAAGTGACATTTAAACAAAGACCTGAATGACATTTAAAGCCATGGGATGGGATGAGATCACTAGGGAGAGTGGAGAGAGTGAAGAGAGATAAGTCTGCTGACCAAGTCCTTGCCAGTCTACCACCTAAAAGGCATGAACTGAAAAGGAGAAAATGGGAGTGAATACCCTTCAAACACTGCGCAGGAGTCTAGACAACATAAGGCATTGGAAGTAAAGCTCTGCTTTGCTTTGCTCTCTAGACTCCCACTGCTTCTGGGAAGGTGGGTTATGGGCCATCTAGTTTGCTGAGCACCATGATGGGTAGGCGAGTTAGGAATAAAATCTCCAGTGACATCTGTCTAGCTCACTAATGCTTTTGTTTGAGTGGATCTGTGGGGTGAGTGAAGGGGACATGAAGAAGTACCATATTACACCACAGGGACTTCCCATGTGAAAATCGAGACAGCATACACAGACACAGAGCGGCCAGGTGACACTGTGCCTGGACGCTATAAGGAAACTCACTATGATGAATCACACTCTTTGCCCTCAAGGAGCTTATCATTTTATATATAATATGCTGTCTTTATTATCTGTCTTCCCTGAGTATAATATAAGCTCCTTAATGGCAGAAACATTGTATCATGCTTTGTATGATGCCTAGAATATGCCTGGCCCACAGCAGGTGCTCAATAAACATTTACAGAATGACTGAATGATCACCATCATCATTATCCAGGGTATTAGTAGAGCTAAAAGTATTCAAACTGTTAGCTATAGAATCCCTACTGTCACACAGATGCCCAGGGAATAAAAAAGGAAGTAAATAGCCCTGGCCGGTTTGGCTCAGCAGTTAGAGCATTGGCCTGCGGTCCAGAGAGACCCGGGTTCATTCCCGCTAAGGGCATGTACCTCGGTTGCAGTTTGTCCCTGGCCCTGGTTGGGTCGTGCGGGTGGCAGCCTCTCGATGTGTCCCTTTCACGTCGATGTTTCTCTCTCTCTCTCTCTCCCCCTCTCACTCTATCTGAACAAAAAAACAAAAAAATGTCCTCGAGTGAGGATAAAAAAAAAAATTTTTTAAAAAGGAAGTAAATAAAACCCACGTATGTAGTCAACACTTGCTATGTACAAGGCCATAGTAATCACTGTTAGGGAGTCAGGAATCAAATAAAGACTTCACTCTTAAGTCTGGTAAGAGACAAAGATATCTTTATCAAAAGACCCCACAAACACAAATGAACAAAAAAATAAAATAAAGAACAAAACCAAAACAAAAATCCCAAACCACA